AAATTGAATTTAATATTTCTTTACAGGTTCTGTGAGATTTGAATTGTTGTTATGCAAAGCACCTAAAATGTTAAGACGTTGATATTGAGAAAATGATGGAATTTTATTATTTATCTTTCTTTAGTTTATTACTGGGTTTTTATAAATTCTCAGTAGTAGCACGGAGTGGAATTGTGCCCGGTATATGGCAATAGGCTCACCCCCTATTATATGGGACTCATAACAAATAGTGATAAGTGGGTGTTACATTGTACAGTGGCATAATGAGCACCTCTGCCTACCCCTTCGGGGATAAAAGGCGTGATGTTATGTTATGTCTTTCTTTAGTTTAACCTCTCTCCGACGTCTGATTGTCGTCACATTACACAAGAATAAAGACTGCTATGAAGTGAAGTGTAGTGAGGATATAAAGGAGTCTCGCTATTCTATGTCCTACACTATATTGTGACGTCATTAGAACACCATACCTAGCCTTTATCACGTGTCGCTTTTCAATAGATTTATGAATGACGTGACAACAGAATTTTTTTTTTAATTTTACCCTCGTGTTGTGTAGAATTAAAAGAATGTATGTAATCTACTATATAAAAATAAGTCGGGTTTTCCTTCCTGACTATACCGATTTCCACGGTTTTGCATTCGTTGGAAAGGTCTCGGGCTCCGTGAGGTTTATAGCAAAGAAAATTCACTAATCACCAAACGAAATGTAACATAAAACGAAGCCATCTGTTTGCTAGTGTATAATGTAAACTAGAACTATAACACAATCTCCGTAGTAACAGATAAAATAAATACTTATAAAATAAAATAAACAAGTGAAGTAGGTACTTGTCCTATTATTTATTTCTCGGGACGAAATTAAGTAAGTAGTCTAGTATCAACCTAGTTATACCAGACAAAAACACTTAACAGAAATTCTGAGAATGAAATTATAACAAACAAACCGTACTTCAACTGTTAAAGAATTCATTGTTCGCTTCCTTACTGCATCAACCACAGAGCATACAAAACTTATTTGTTCTGTGGCATCAACAATAGCGAGCTGAACCACAGACTATAGAAATACAATGTTCCTAGTACTTACGATCTTAAAGCTTCAATGAAGGGGCTTTTGTTGGTAAGACAGTCCTCGAAAACACAAGTCCTATGAACGTCCTATGCCAGCGTTTCCCAAATATTAAAATAATAACGATGAAAGTGCGACGCATGGGATAGGGGTCTCCGGTTCAATTCCCGGGTTGGGCAAAGTATTACTGCGTTTTTTTTACATGTCAGTAGTAGCACGGAGTCTGGAAATGTCCCCGGTATATGGCAATAGGCTCACCCCCTATTGCATGGAACTCATAACATAAATAGTGGAAGTGGGTGTTACATTGTACAGTGGCATCAAATATGCACCTTTACTTACCCATTCGAGGATGAAAGGCGTGATATTATGTTAAAATCATAATAATAATGGATGAAACATTTAAAACTATAGTCAGAATTTTAATTAGATTCCAGATTTGACAATGGCTACTGTCATTTTGTGAAATAATGATACCACATATAATAGTGTAGTGATGCACACAAAAATCGATAAACAATCAGTGTGTGTGTTTTATAATAAATGTCACAGAAAGTGACAGGATAGCGATAGCGATGACGGCGACAATTTATAAAATAACTTATTTACCATAATACATCTATCTGTTTTATTTGTCCTGTTCCTTCATGATTACATTTTTTTATTTATTTCACACATAATTATAAAAGAAAAGTCCCAGATCGTTAATTAATCGTCAAAATAAATTATCGGTTCAAAAATATAAATTTCCTGATATACTTAGTTTACGAGAGTAAAATTATAAACGAGCAAAATCGATCCAGAAATATTACATTTCCATATCGAATAATTTCGCATCGTCACTATTTAGTACTTGTCATAACGTTGCAACACTGAAATTGTCAAATCTGGAATCGAATTAAAATTCCGAGTATAAAATATTTCCAAAAATATGGCGTTGCAACAGATCGACATCTCATCTCATAGCCGATATTAATAACCAGTATTGCTTCGACTTCGACGAAAATTTCAGATAGGTTCTTATCTATTACACATTTTGGATTGACTACTGATACCAATAGCCATCGTAGAACAGTCTTTGGGAAACACTGTCCTTTACAGTAAGATATTTCAGAGTATTTTGAAATACAAAGTGGACATTGAGATAGAACTTTTGTAAAGGCACACTGTAACGGGTATTGTATCGAATGCACTTGCTATCGGACAAAGGGATGCTTGCATGGCTGCTTACTGCTTAACACATGTAACTATATCGATGGATTCGTTTTCCAGTCTCTGTAGCTTTGACCATTCGATCATATTACTCGTTTGAAAGAATTTTGTAACTTTTTTCTTAAATAGAACGTTTTATTAATTAATTGTTTATCGTTTTCAAGGAGTTTTTAGTATTATCTAGTATTTTGGAGTCTCTCTGTCAGTCAATGAAAAATCGATAATTCTTTTTCTGCCACAGTGCTTCATTGTTTTAGGTACTTAACCCTTTGAGTACCGTCATTATAGACACAATTAAAGAACAATAGGTTGCGGTCACCGGTGTCCTCGCGGTGTTTGACAGTTTAAAGAATTTAGGTTATTATTCCATTTTGACCAAATAAAACTATAATAAATGAATTTTTAATATTAATTAATTCAATATTCGCCTATCAGTAATGTAGATATAATTAGCACTCCAAAATGATTTAGAACTGCGAACGACATAACGGGAGGTTTTCTGTCTGTAAGAGTCTGACACTCTCTCGCCGCGCCCAAGGCGGGAGAAAACGGTACCTACTGTTCCATTCCAAAAAGAAAAAAGCACCATAAAATATACCTCGATAGGCACAAAAGTACATGTAGATATGCAATAAAAAGGGTGAGTTTATGCGCGGAATGAAACCAAATTTAATTACACGTCTGCGTAGAGTTATTGGTTATTTCACAATCACAAGCGAAATTAATCACATATCATGGCTACAGCAAATAGTAACAAAACCCTTAATATACGAAAAACTCTTAATTAATTTCGCCCCAATGACTGCACTCTCAATTATCCACCTGCAACACTCAATCAATTTAGGTTGCCTAATTGACGGACGCGGAATGCGCAGAGGGCAGCACTTTTGATTAAGAACGCATCAGTGCGTGCAACTGAAACGGTTGGTTATTGTTTAACTTTGCTCATTATCCACGTTCAGGAAACATCGCTTTTAGTATTTTTATTTTCATGAGCGACCGCTTTCAGCGTACGTTGAACATTGTTTTAATACTGTGGTTTCTGTCTGCGACTTTATCCGTGTCGAAAAGTGACAAAGATTTTTAATATAGCTTAGGTAGGCACAGTAAAAATGCAGCTTTCTCCGATCAATCTAAGTGTGGGAGAGCCATGCTTCGGCACGAATGGGCCGGCTCGACCGGAGTGATACCACAGCCTCACAGAAAACAGACGTGAAACAACGCTTGCGTTGTGTTTCGTCGTGTGAGTGAGGTTACCGGAGGCCCTAGTCTTCCGAATCCCTGAATCCTCCACAATCCTCAAATTCCCAATTCCCAAAATGCCGGTAACGTACTTGTAACGCCTTGGTGTTCCAGGTGTCCATGGGCGGCGCCGATTGCTTACCATCAGGTGATCCGTCTGCTCGTTTACCGGCAAAAAAAATACTGATAAAGTTTTTGGAATCGGCTAGGTAGTTTTTGTATGACTGAACACGTTACATACAAAACACAATGTTTCCTCTGTATGTAGTAATATTAGTTTAGATGAGTCCGTACCTGTTTTACCTAGAGGTTTTGCGTCGGATTGCACGGAACTTCGTATACACACGAATTAATTGCAACACACGATCTGTTTGTTGGTAGTTTTAGTAATTTGTTGCTTCTACTGAGTTTGCCCTCCCATGTTTAATGAATATCGGAATAACTACGCGAAATAATGAACTGTATGAGTATTAAGCTGCGGTTGAAGCTAGTGCAAACTAATTGTTTTGTTTATGTTTCGCTGAATTTCTGACTTCCTGTGCATTATTTTGGTACTGTTTTGTTTGTTGTTAAATTGGGAAATGTAATCTGTGGTTCTAGACCACATTGTTGTGTCGGGTTTAAAATTATAGACTAAAATTTTCATGAATTTGTTGCGGATAGACACTTCTCCTGTTTTAACTAAAGACTTTAGCTGTGTTCATAGTGCATTGCTAAATAAGGAAAGTAAATCTCTTGCACATCACGTGAACTGACATGACGTTTTAAGTCTAGTCTTAGAGTTTAACGTCGGAATACTGAAAGGCTACAATTTTAAGTAGTACTTAAACTGTCAAACACCTCGAGGACACCGGTGTCCGCACACCTAGTGTTCTTTAATTGTGTCTATAATGATGGTACTCAAAGGGTATATATATCGTGCCATCTCTGTCATTTGACAAAGAATTTGTAGTGACAGAACATACTTAAGCGCGACTTAATATTGGGTACTTGCCAACTAGTCAAATTGAAAACTTTTATCGAACTGTCAAAAACGACAGTTTTCTATGAATTTTGTACGATTTTGTGTATTATGTCACGTTTTTTTTAGCGTCAAACAGCATATTTATTTCTTAAATATTTCCTGAAAAAATACTAAAATTCAGTTGGTCATAAAATCAAATAATTAAAGTGTGATTATTTTTTAATATTCTATTATTGTATTGAAAAGTCGAAATAATTTATTTTTGATTATTATTTATATTTAGTTATGACCCAATTGAGTGGCATTTGAGTGTTTCAGCGTCAGTAAGATAGAGTGGAGAGAAAGTTTGGAAGTTTCTTAATTAATAAATTTCACAAATGAAGTTTCCGTGGAGCACCCTGTCTGTACACATGCAACACAAGTTACCTGTGCAGATAAACGTTAACTAGAAAGTTAACAGCTTTAACTTCATACCGGAGAGTTAATTAAAATCAAGATGGAGGCTCTTGCGTCGTCATGGTAACGTCAAACAAACTGTCAAGGTGTCGTTCGGTGTGTTTACCTATGTCGTTGCAACTGAAAGGTGTTGAGTAGTTTAGAAATAAGTAATTAGTTTGGTGGGTTTCTTGATTTTAGGAGCTTTTAGTAGGTAGTCAAAGGTAAAATCGGGATATTTAGGTACTTATATACTTAGTCGAACATAAGTTGCTTCCATTTAAATAAAACACAATTTCTTTATAGTGGAATTGTATGATATGATGCGATGACATTTTGATTTAAAGACACCCATGTTTTACCTAACTTCTGATGGGCCAATTTTTCAATCATTAGTCGTTCCTAACTAGAATAAAATTGACATTTGACTGTTTTAAGTATGGAAGAATTGACAAATATTCAAAAATGTTCCTCAGGTAAAATTTATCTGGCGTTGTAAAAATCGGCCCTTAAGTAAGAGAAGTACAAACTTATGCAAAAATGTAGCAGTCGCAAAAATGCAACGTCAATACAAAATGTGGAAAAGAAATTGTTTAATGTCGGAATACTGAAACGCTACTCAAATTTAAGTCGTGCTTAAGTATAGTTCTATCTCTACAAATTCTTTGTAAAATGACTGAGATGGCATGATATTTGAGCACGACTTAAAATTGAGTAACGTTTCAGTATTCCGGCATTAAAACATATCAACATCTCTTCCTTTAGATAGCCCTACGAGAAATAAAAGATATTATTATGTTATTATGCTAATTTCCTATACTTTGCCTTAATGCACCTAACCTTTTTTAAATATGTTTTAAGTAAACATATCCGTGTAAATAAGTTTATTAACAACCCATTAATATATGAGTAATGCTTATGATTTGTGATAATGTCTGACTCGTTTTGTAGGAAGTATTTGTAATGCGATAGGCTTCTGCTGGCCTCTAATTGACTCATTAAAATGGTTGTCAATGAGCAAACGGCTTGTGTTACTTGTATAAACATAAGTGTTGTGATAATCTTCTATGGACCTGTTTGTATAATTTCATATTATATTGTTACTAGCTTCTGTCCGCGACTTCGCGCGTACGTTCCTCCCATTCCCGTAGGATTTTCAGGACTTTTTTCTGTCATAAGAACCTTCTCCTGACTCCTCCTGATAACAAACACAACAAAAAAACAGCCAAATCGTTGCCGCCGTTCTCAAGTTATGGCGTGACAACTGGAAATGGGTTTCATTTTTATATATATAGATGACACTCATCTAACGTAGTTACTTTGTGCATTAAAATTGGTTTCAAACGCAATAAATAGGTCAGCATTTGGATGCTAACTAACTAAACGAAGTATATTTATAAGTTAACTGTGTCGCAAAAATCGCGGGTTACTCACGTGAATTTACTGAGAAAAGCTCTACTAGTTTCGAACAACAGAGGGGTTCTTCTTCCACATGAGCAGCGTGCGCGGTCGCGGCAATATCACGCAGCCTACTTTTAGTTACTATTATTTATTTATTGCTATTATTAATTATTTTCAGCCATGATCGTCCCACTGCAGGGCAAAGGTCTCCCTACCCTCCTTCCACTCCTCTCTATGTAAAGTTTTTTGCGGCCAATCCTTGTCATAGATGTCTAATTCGTCCCGCCATCTCCTTTTAGTTACTACTTTTAGTTAATTTAGTATGTCTCGCGATAGTTATTATAAAAACCTAACTGTCAATATTCTTTTCAATCTTGCAGCCTAAACTGTAGGGTATTTGGAAATGATGATTTCTATAACGTAGTATCGTTGTTGTAATATTTTCTATTTTTAATATACCACCTGTTTACAGTATTATAGGTAGGTACTTTTATTCTACCTAAGAAACATCAAAGTGCTTTAATCGAACGCCTTTCAAACGATTCCAAATGCATCATTGAAAACAAGAATCGAATGAATTCTTAATCGAATGACAATCTGTCTTGTACACTACCTGCACCTCACTTGACATTTACAGCGAATGCGCTTCGAAACAACGATAATAACAAAACAAAACGAGGAAAACTCTTCAAAGGTTGTAGTGAAAAATAGAATAATTGGAGGTGGAGGTAAGGCTACCTTTCAATTTGCATAGGAAAGTAGAATGGTGCACACGAGCCCTTTTCAATGATGCATCGATTAGTTCCTCCCGCCCTCCGCCCACCGGCCTCTGTGCTACACGCGTCGATGCCACATGCAACCGCTTCTGTTGAATAACTTATTAGCAGACAGAAACGATTAGGAATAGGTCCAAGAGCAATGCATTTGGTTATTCAACCTTATTTATAAGTTACATACAGAATAGATGTATGACATACCTCACAATAATAGATAGGTGATCATTAAATACATGTTTTATAATATCTATCTTATTTCTGGTCGTCCCACACATAACATAACATCACGCCTTTTATCCCCGAAGGGGTAGGCAGAGGTGCACATTATGCCACTGTACAATGTAACACCCACTTTTCACGATTTATGTTATGAGTCCCATGTAATAGGGCGTGAGCCTATTGCCATATACCGGGCACAATTCCAGACTCCGTGCTACTACTGAGATTTTTTTAAACCCAGTAATACTTTGCCTGAAACGGGAATCGAACCCGAGACCCTTGCCCGGCAGTCGCACTTGCGAACACTCGGCCAACGAGGCAGTAATTTGTCAAAATACGTATCAGTTAGGCTAACCATAACTTTGCGAACATTGCGAAGATATATAGTCTGTAGTTAAATCGTATCGTTACTCATAAATCGATACTAGTTTTAATCTGATCAAACAAAATTCTACTTAAAATGTTATTAGTACTCTTAGGTAAATATTTTACATCTTATATTTTATTTTAACCCTTATTTACGTGTAATACAATCCAATAATTTAAACTAATCTGAATCAAATCAAAAGAGACAAAAAATGTGTTATGTTTACGTGAATCTGACGAAAATGATAATTTTGAGGTTTATTTTTAATATAAATAAGTAATAGAAACTTATTAAATTGAGTTTTATTACCATCGGCCATCTTGGTCTTATTATGTTCAACAAATGAAGTGTTGTTAAATGATTTGTATTTATTTGATGCAATACCTAAAATAGTAAAGTAATATTTAGTGTTTATATTATTATATTTTGATTTTGGGCATACAATTTTAGGACATCATTCACTTGACCCCATGTCGTATCCTTTTTCGTCAAAACAAGTTGAAATACGATTATTTTGTTTACCATCTTAAATCTTACTTTTAATATTTTCAATATTTTATTTTTTATATACTGATGTACAAACATGGCATCGCGTAGTTTACTTATACCTACGGGATAGCATCGTAATGGTATGCCAGCATTTACGACTTCTGAATCCATTTTTCATGCCTGACTTCGGCCCGACAACACAAAATTATTGTCAAGAAGTCAATTTGGAAAGACTTCTCGCTAGGTAGACCGATGACATCATCAGAGTTGCAGTTAGGTATTATATGCAAGTGGTAAGATGGGGCTCACTCAGCGTCCTATGACTAAGAGGGAGACCGTTTTTTTGCAGTGGACGTCCACCCGCTAATAATGATGATCATAAAAATTATAATGCTAATTCTTATTATTTTTCCATAACTACTTTTAGTATCTAGTCACATAAATAGAAACAGGGACATTGCCCCCTTTTGTTTTTGAGGGTCGTAAATCATCCAATGACTTCTCCCGCTTTGGGTTAGGCGAGAGGGAGTGTCAGAGTTTGCCCACGTAAATTGCTAATATTTTATAGAAAATGTCCTGCGCAAGTAGGATTCCGTCGCCTTGCATCGGTAGGATCTCGTTTATTATACTTTTGATGATATTTGTGTATTTGTAGACATAGTTTAACTAATTATATTGTATATCTTCCTGTAGGGTTTAAACCTCTTTAAAATTATATTCACGATAGTTATTTTATTTTTTTAAGGTGCTTTCCTCGTGATGTCGTACCCACACTTCCTGTTCGCTGACAACGTATATCGAAACAGTGTGGTTGGTATGTGGCCGGACGAAGACAAACACAAGATATTTGTGGACATAGAACCGGTATGTATTACATTCATATATTATTATGTTACGAGGTCGCAATAGAGGTCGAAGGCTACACCACTATGGACTTTGAATATACATAAATTGAGTTAAAGTTACTATGTATGAGGTAAGTAATAGTCAGTGCATATTAAATACTGGGATCGATGACAAACTGTATTATTGTTTTCCAATTTGCACCACCCCCACCACCACCGCCACCGGCTCTGGGAAATACAGCCGGTGTTCTGCTGTAATTGTAGACTCTTGTTATACTAATAGGGCAAGGGTATAGGATTATCCTATTATCGACTAACATAGAGGGAAAGTAAATTGCAAAAACACACACGGGGTAGAGTTATACAATATTTTTTTTACATTGTAACAATAAAACTGCACTGATGGCCTCGAAGCTGAATGATTGTGTGTTATTTGAAAACAAACAGGAGCTTGGCCTTTTTTTTTTTTTTTTTTTTTTTAAGGGGGGAAAATCATCGAATGACTGCTCCCGCCTGGGTGAGGCGGAAGGGAGTGTCAGACTCTTACTGACTAAAAACCACCCCGTTCCTTCTCCTGCACGTCGAGCCGGAGCCCCGGTTACCCGTTAGGTTCTCCGCGACTCCGAATCGGCATCGGCCCTATTGGGCCCCATCTGTGGTGGTCTGATGGCTCTTTGAGGCGCGCGCGGAACGCGACGCGCCGTACGCTCGGGTCTGTTTCTGGTCGGACGGGGAGCCACCCATGCTCGCCGTCCGCAGGCCCTTGGCCGTGAATGTTAGGCAAAAGGGGCTCGTCGGCTCGTCTGCGTAAGTTGCCAGACATGGGGAGGGGTCCGGGTCTCTCTCACCCCTTATCCCGATCTCACAGCCCCTCAAAAACGATCGGCTTCGTCTACCTTGACCTATATTACTGCCATCATTTTTGCCCTTCATTCATTGATTCTACTGCTCTAGTTTACATATGTTTAGTTCTATAGCTTGCACTGCATCAATCGTTGTGTGTCGCTGTAGACCTTTATAATTTATATTACTTTTGCAGATTATTTCAACCAAACTCTGTAGTTTAGTAACAGATATAAGATACAGTGATCTTCTTCAATGTTGATCTCTAATGTTTGCAGATGTTCATAAAGAATCAAATCGTTAATTAACAAAAATGTTTGCTCTGAAACGAAATCATGTTTGATTGTTGTTTGATTAATATTGCACGGATTCTCCAGTACCTTTACAATCAGTGCAGTATTTACATTTGTAAATGCCTTTAATATTTTCGAAGGTATCGGCCGTCGGTTGCAAGGACCGCGGGAGGTCTCTCCCTCGCCCTGGCTCCCCCTGCCAGACCGAACAGTTTTAATTAAATTGTTTGAATTGTTTTGATTTTAATTTGTCCGTGGCAATAAACAATGGCAGGTAAACGAAGGTATAATTTCTATACTATGACTGCCAAAGCTCCGAAAATAGAAAGATAACTACTAAAACTAATGCCTAATGATTAATCGAATGCTTGGTATTTAATACTTAACCATTTGTTACTGCATTGTCACACATCTGCACCTGCCCTTTAGTTTTTATCCAGTTAGCTTATAAATATTCGTCGTCAACTTTTAGCATTAGCATTCTCATCGATTTTATTCTTACCAAATCACTAATTGTTTTTGTGTATTTTTAAACTACCATTTATTTTAAGAATATTAGTACTGATACATTTGACTACCATACTTAGTAATGACAACGATGTATGACACGAACTCCATATATAAAAGACCATGTTCCATCAAAATATATCTCGACACTACGCTGAGTCGATCAGCTCGATACTCAATTAAGACTGAAGCGCCGGCTATCAGCGAATCTCATTTGATTATCGCCGTCCTCCCCTGTCATAACTACCCGCATCATAAGCGGTATCACCAAAATACTCTCTAATTATTTCGGTCCAGTTTAACAACTTGATTGAATTATAACTTTAGCGAGACATACTAAATTACACGTAATTATTATTTGACGAGGAATTTACGAGGACCGTAGCAGCGCGACAGTCGCCGCGTCGCGGGTCGCGGAATGCTGCTTATGAATATGAGCCTCTAACATGGCTTGAAACTAGTCGAGTTCCTCGTCAAATAACTAAAATTTAATTAAGTTGATTGAAGACTAAATGTCAAACTATTGCCCTGCCTTAGGAGGTCCGGTCCCTCCGCGGTTGCAATTATCGCCCGCAAACTTGACGGTTAATTAGCCAAGCCGGGCGTGCGGTTATACAGATGGCTGAGTTCTAGACCAGTCGTGGCCATTGTGATCGCCCGCCAACCGATCGTTGAGCGCGCGGATGCTAGCCGCCACGATTTCGGGACAGCGGCCGCGCCATGGCAACCGCTGCGAGCGTGAAATGGCTGCTATGCAAAGGTTATGAGCCGTAATCGCGGCGGGCGAGCGAAAAAAGGTCCTTTGGTCCCTAGGCTAAGGACTTCCTGCGATAGGATTTTCTGCGATCAGTTATATGCCGTAATGTTCTTATTATATGTACTTAAATGCCTTAAAACGTGAGATAGATACGAATTTTTCGTATACCGATCGTTAGTATGTAATATTGGGCAACCGTATTACCAAAAACAAAGAGAGGTGATTAGTAAAAAAAATCTACTTTCTTTTTTTTTCGTTTTCTGCAAGTTGGCAATCTGTGACTATAACTGCAATACTTAATTCATAATAATACAAAATTGCCCACTGTAATAGAGAGCGAGGCGACTGTTAAACATCTAAACATCATTACTAAGGCATGGAGACATATTTCGTGACTTCCATCCACTTGCACGTCAGTTGGACCTTGGAAGGCACCTGGACGTCATAATACTCCATATATGTCACAATAATACCTTGTTCGATGGGATATTGATGTATCATTTATCAGTTGTTACACTAACGACTGTCCAGAAGGCTACACAGTCGATCGATACCCATTACTGCGTGCATTATTCAACTGGAACATAACAAATATGACAGCCTGCACTTTTCAAGGTGATGTCAGCCAACACTGAAGTTAGGCTCCATTAAGGATGATAAATAATTCACAGTTCTGAACCGCATACGGTACGGTGAGGCTAACTTAGTACATAAATTGTTGGATTTTAGGACGGACCTTTGTTATTTGATTCTTAAGTCATACCCATACAAATTGAATACTAGTTAAGTCGCCTTATTAGCTACTAGCTTTTACCCGTGGCTTCGCTCGCGTCACAAAAGGATAAAAAGCCAATGTGACATATACCAATACACACAGCGCCATCTATACTAATATTTTTTCCCTCGGGAATATCAAATTTTTCCGGGATAAAAAGTACCCTATTATTTAATCCGGACTTCTAACTTTACGTCTGCAAAATTTCAAAGCAATCGGTTTAGTTGTTACGGCGTTAAAGTGGAACAAACAAACAAACTCACTTTCCGATTTATATCCTGGCATTTTTTATACCTCTAGATCTCTTTGAACCTGAAATTCACAGTTGAGTGTAGTGGAATTCTTAACTTTGAGAACGGGCCCACCCTCTATCAGATAGGTACTGAAAACAGAAATGTCATAAAATAATTGTATGGAAGCCTATTACTCCAAGGAAAAATGCCTAAGGTTAATGATAGGTTGGGCACAAAAAATGAATGCTTACTAAACTAAACGATCCAGTTTGAACATAAGTTTGCATTTTACTTTTTTATAAACTACACTTTAATAGTATTGTCCTTGTAGTCACGTGGGAACAAACAATATGTTTAGCTGCACTTCTATCCTTACAAATGACGGTAAATAAATTTCTTTTAACAGTGACCTGTAATTTGCCGACTGGCCTTTTGCATAATAAATGGATTGACCAGCTTAGGTCTCAAGTAAAGTCCTTGTAATGCAGAATCAGCTATTTTATTCAGTCGGTAAACAGAAGCAGGTACCCACGTTAATTAACTAGGTAGTAGGTGCATAGAAAAACATTTTCTATTTCTCTTCTGTTTGTCGTTATTTTAAAGTGAAAATTGAGTCGTGTTCATAAACGTGTATAGTACTTACTTATATTTACGACTGCCTCGTTGGCCGAGTAGTCGCAACTGCGACTGCCGGCAAGGGGTCTCGGGTTGGATTCCCGGGTCAGGCAAATTATTACTGGGTTTTTAAAAAAATCTCAGTACCTAGTAGCACGGAGTCTGGAATTGTGTCCGGTATATGGCAATAGGCTCACCCCCTATTACATGGGACTCATAACATAAATAGTGAAAAGTGGGTGTTACATTGTACAGTGGCATAATGTGCACCTTCTGGAATAAAAGGCGTGATGTTATGTTATGTTTGTTATGTTACTTATGTTTACATTAACGTTAGTAAATAATGATTATGTTTAATCAATGATTTAAATTTTAATAGCTTGTAAATTATAAAGGCTCAGGTACTGAGTAATATTAATTTATATTTTTAAATATAATGTAAGTTCGTTGAAAAGGCCTAGAAATTCTGCGGTTTTAAGCTCTCTAGTGCTTGATAAGTACGTAAAACCGCAGGTCCTTAACCTGACCTCTTTTTAAATGTGTCGAATAGAAATTCCGCCCGGTTATGAGAATATTGAAGCGAATATACTTATAAGATTTTTCACAAGAATTGCGGATTACTTTACTGTGAATTTACTCAAAATTGGTGTCAAGATACATTCATTAATGATTTATAATACATCCTATCTCGTCTGCTGGTTACAATGTTTAAATTTGGCATAGTTTCATTTATCATCATCAAATTAATACGTGCAGTAAACTATGGAATCAAATAGGCAGGGAAATCACAGCTGTAAAATGAACGGCATTATAAATTCCACGCAAATATGAAAGTACTGCTTCACTTGAAGACATATTTAGAAATCCAATAGCATTAGTTTTCCCGGGATTTAAGGGTAGGGTGGCAGCATAATAATTAATCACTTATGTAAGTTCATTATGATCAGGAACATGTTTAGATACACAAGATTTAAATACAAAATTGTACATTGTAGGTACCAATTACCCGATTTACATCAGTTATGCTATGAGTCACTAGTGATAAGCTTACTAAGAATTGTCCAAAGCCTAGAGTAAACCAATGATTTATGTTTTATCGACATGTAAAGGGGTTGTAAGATAAGCGCAATAACATACTGCGGCTCGGCTCGGAGCAGGAGTTGGAATGGGGTGGTTTTTAGTCAGTGGGTGACACGCCTGCTCGCTTCAACCAGGGCAGGAGAGGTCATTAGATGATTTTCTCTACAAAAATGCATTTGATGATTTCACATCGGTATTAACTTTGTATTTGTTTTCAGAACACGGGCACTCCGATCAGAGGTGCGAAGAGGGCGCAATTCAACATATTCTCGAGGCCTGTCAACGGTATACCTGCTACACAAACCTTCCGGACTGCCTTAGTCCCGATCTTATGGGTGGATGAAGTAAGTTTCTTGACCATTAGGTACAAATTATTGGCTCTGACACTTATTTCGCCATTTCGATATTTAGTGATTGTCAGTCAATGATGCTCATTTAGGATTTACTCAAGCATTATAGAAAACTGAACATTCGATTCTAGGTAGTTACCATCAATACACAACATGGTGTTGTGCATTTGGGGTATGGAACAAATCTGGTGTGTCGATCATATTATTATACACACAAAATACTTAGCTTTTCCTTTTCACATTTTGTTCGCCTGTAGCAAATAATCCTCCAAATTTCTTTTTATTGATCTTACTGTTACCTTAAACTGACATTACTATCAGATCGCATCAGGTACCTGTGGATTACCTACTACTAGTAGACATTAGCAAGTGCAATTCGATCGATTTAAGAAACTTTGAGAACAACTCTGTCTAGTTGAAGAACTACGAATGTAATGAACTAGCGATCCTTCTTTAGGGCTTCTCACCTCAGATCAGTACAACTTTTATTAGATGCTCAGATAGACAAACCAGCCAAGTGCAGTTCTGATTGCAGTCTAGCTAGTTGCTGAGTTGCCGAGTTTGTGGAGATTCTCAATTTTGTGTAGTTTCTAAACTTAAAATTAATTTTATTTGCTATTAGATCCTTTTTATTTCTTACTTTATCGTGTGGAATGGCTTACCTAAAGGTTTTTGCAATTGATTATGTGAACTTTCTACTGTATACATAGGTAGGTAATGTATTCGATTAAGACTTTAATATTGTACCTACATTCCGTAACTTCGAAAGAAACTTTAAGTTTATTATAATGTTTAAAATCAAGGAAAGTTTGCCCTTACCTAAAATTTATATTACTTTAAACAAAATCTTACCTCACTTCGTACATTTAAAATTCTTTCCAATACCTACATGACACTGGCGAGCAACTTGTTGCTATTCGTGTACCTACGTTGTAAAACTCATTCATAATTTAAATACTGCATACATTTCATGCCAAACCCGTTGTTAAAATTAATTCCACCTAGTTATTTTACTTCAGCGCCTTATAAATGTTGCATAGCTAGATGTAGCTGTGAGAAACAGTTGCACCTGGCGTTGGTATGGCTTACAAGTCAACCGATATGATTTAGTAATGAGACGGACGCTACTTACTGCCTACTCGTTAATTTGCTACATTTCTGCTTCGGAATTGAAATTATTTCTATATTTTTTTACTTTTATCCTTACGTTATAGGAATTTATTTCTCGTGTGATTATAATTTATGTACACTTTTGCTCTCAGTAACTGCATGATAATATATGTCATAGTTACACTACTCATTCATACTTACTTATGTTTTCATGTAAAATCATACTACATAACATAACATAAGATCATTGCTTTTATCCCCGGAGGGGTAGGCAGAGGTGTACATTATGCCACTGTACAATGTAGACAAGCAACAAACCCTATTTATGTTATGAGTCCCATGTAATAGGGGTTGAGCCTATTGCCATATACCGAGCAGAAACTATGTCTTTAAAATATTAATGTAAAGTGTTACTAATACAAAGTTGGTTTAATCTAGCCTGTAATATTAAGGGAAAACTGTTGAAGGTAAGTCCTCCGCGAACATCGGTTTAATGTGTTAAATTCTACTTCATTGTTTCAGTCTATCATCCTGCCCGATGAATTCGTGGAGGAGCTGACAGGCAGATTGCTAAACAGTCTTCGATTAGTGGACATCTTTATACCGGTCATCATCGCAGCTTGTGGTCTCGTGCTGGTGGTAGGTGCCGGGTTTACCATTAGAGCATTTTATGTAAGAAAATCAGTTAAGAAAACCGATACGGTACCCGTAGATAAAACTGAACCAGCTCTTGAAACTCAACCTGAACCCGAAACTCAACCTGAACCTCGAACCTAAAATGGAGTTGCCAAGTAGATATTAAATAGATATTATGTAAGATATTAAATTATGATGATATTATATACCTACGCATTTGCTTGTTTTATTTCTATCAATCTATCATCTCCTATTTTACTTGGGGCTTACAACTTACTTACTTAGGTGTTACATTGTATTGAATTATATAATTCATAAGGTTTACCAAGTCATTTCTTAATAACGTCTAATATCGACTTCAGCATAAAACCAAACTATATTTTAAGCGAAATATAATATAACCAAAATGTATTTAAAAGTTCCAGTAATAGGCTCACCCCCTATTACATGGGACTCATAACATAAATAGTGAAAAGTCGGTGTTACATTGTACAGTGGTATAATGTGCACCTCTGCCTACGACTTCGGGGATAAAAGGCGTGATGTTATGTAAGTATGTAGTTTCAGTAATATCTATCCCATTTATTATAACTTTTACAATAGCATGTTGGTACCTAAATACAATAAATTAGACCCAGGAGGTACCTAATCTAATTGCTTACATGTTAAAGTAATAGAAAAGGTAATTCGATATCGTGACTCCTGTTCAAAGCAACTGATAGACTACTTAAAAATCTATAATGTCCGAAGGGCGAGCAACCCTAGCCTTTTCATTATAAACTCTAGACACCGGCCCCATGCAATGACCTTTTCACATCCACCCTAACTTGCATGCCAATCTTTAATACCACAAAATTCAATTATCCACTTGTACCTGTATAATTAGGTGGATGCGCTGGACGGCCGTAAAACGTTTTAGTTTAATGGTAAAACTTGGAGGGTGTAGGGTGAACTCAAATACCTATTTCAGAGTTTGCAATTGATATAATATTCCTATAATAACTTATAGGTACCTTACAAGCAATTCTTGTATAAATACATGAACGATTTTTTTTTGGCATAAGCCGGTAAACTTGTAGACGGATCACCTGATGGTAAGCAATCGGCGTCGCCCATGGACACCTGGAACACCAGAGGCGTTACAAGTGCGTTACCGGCTTTTTGGGGATTAGGAGTTTGAGGATCGTTGGGGATTCAGGGATTGGGGAGATTGGGAAAGGGGAGGGTATTTGGGCCTCCGGTAATCTCACTCACACGACGAAACAAAACACAAGCGTTGCTTCATGTCGGTTTTCTGTGAGGCCGTGGTATCACTCCGATCGAGCCGGCCATTCGTGCCGAAGCATGGCTCTCCCAAACTTAGCATGGCTCTCCCACATTTCGGAAACGGCTGCATTGATTTTCTTGAAATTTTGCATTTACGGTTTCGGGGGCGATAAATCATCAACTTAGGAAAATGTCGTTTTGTTCGTGTTTTCTTTAAAAAAATACATTGACTAAAACAACGAGAATACGAAACTAAATTTCTCTGCCACCGATACCTAACCTTTAAATAGCTTAGTCTGGAAATCAAGTGCCTTCGACGCAGGACATTTCCCAGCCCGAATGTTTTCTGTACCTGGAAGGTAGCTACCAGGTCCAGGTAGATACTATTGATATATTAAGTAGTAGCCATACATACCCATATTTGTTACTAAATAGGTACTCTTAGGTACTTTACCCCCACGACCGTCGTAACATGCCTGCACATTAAATAAAAGATGCTGGGCTGGAGCAGCAGCAGTACCTACCCGAAAACCCTGAAGTATTTCAACGGCGATCTTCAACCCACCTGCAAAATGTGGACATTATGACACAAGTACAATAGGTCTAATAGACAAGTAGGTACGGGCTGTTGGCATCGTGGTATTATTGAGAATTTCTATATCGATGGTGTCTTACAACGCTATAATGTATTACCTAGGTACACTAGTACAAGTACCACCTACTACTCTAACAAATATTGCCCTTATTTAGCCTTACCTACCTTATACAAAGCATTCACTTGCCTAATGATGCAGCCACGAACTGCGTAGGTACATCTATTTTTCATAGACACAATGCCCTCAGAGTCCTTTCATCAATTGCTCGCGAGCAACACATTCACCAGATGTGGACGCACTATAGAGCTTCTAAGCTTTATTCTCTTAAAACACTTCTATCAAATACCAACACAGTCTTCTTTTTTACACCGACTCCTCTTTCCACAGTTTCGATTCACATATCACCGGTAAATAACCAGAACCGTAAGTTTATAATAATTTAAACGAGAGATATATAATTTCTATTATTATACGCCCACGTAGGACTACACCACATATTTGAGTTATAACTTTTCGTACCTAGGTACCTAGTTACAGGTCATGGTTTTCAGGCATTTGGTACTTAGCCTTTGTTAAATAGGACTTGATAACATAACTGGTGAAAATTTACCTACCACTACCGTTTTGACACAATAGGTAATACATCATAAATGTATCATATAACTTAACGTAGCATCACGTCTTTTTATCCCCAAAGGGGTAGACAGAGGTGCAAATTACGGCACTTAATGCCACTGTGCAATGTAACACCCACTTTTCACTATGTATGTTATGAGTCCCATGTAATAGGGGGCGAGTCTATTGCCATATAGATATACCGGGAACATTTCCAGACTCCGTGCTACTACTGAGATTTTGACGTGACAACGTCTTATAAATCTATATATATAAAAGAAAGTCGTGTTAGTTACACCAATTATAAGTCCAGAACGGCAGAATAGATTTGGCTGAAAATTGGTAGGGAGGTAGCTTAGAGCCTGGAGACCGACATAGGATACTACTTTTTAACCAAATTTTTTTTTTACTTTTTACCGAAAATCACGAACGGGGACGGGAAAAAATGGGATTACGCGTACGAAGTCGCGGGCAGAAGCTAGTTACTTATAAATTGGTTTGCCGGGTGACACTTCAAGAAACTGCGTTACGCTCCGCTCACGTTATGCGCTCACAATGAGAGCGAGTGAGAGGCACGCGTCCCTTCCACTCGGGCATGGTTAGGCCGCCTAAGAGCGAGAGAGACAGACAAAATATTTTACCACTCAAACAAAGTCGTTGTTACGTAAAACTTTCGCCCGTATACCGACTTTACAGGCAACCAATTTTTTTTAATAACCCAGTAATACTTTGCCTGACCCAGGAATCGAACCCGAGAACCCTTGCTCGGCAGTCGCACTTGCGACCACTCGGACAACGAGGCAGTCTGTATCTTATGTAACTTCTATAACTAGTTTATGGCTCAGCGAGAGACTTCATGGCTTGGCACGCCGGTAACGTTTTCGGAGAACTTCACAGAAGACATGATCAATGCCATATTATGACTAAGGCAAATTAAGTAACTGTCGCCTTACGCGTAAGCCAGGTTACAGAGGAGCACAGCGACACCGCGAGACGCGCGTGCGCAGTCATAGAATGATAGTAGTAGCGGCGATGCCACAAACAATTAAAGACACCTTAGAGGTGCATGCTGACTAGGGCGCTCTCTAGGTATAATTCACTGTAAAAAATGATTGTTTTGTATCACCTAAGTGTTGTTTTTAGGTATTTTCTTCTAGAAAGCGGCTGGGTAAAGGTGTTTCTCAATAATATCTGCGGTAGGTCCCTAATTTGTTAGGGAGTTAAACTAGCTAGTTCTTCACTACAATTTATAGCCTGTTTCGATTATCCTTATAAATTATAATGAATACCAAGGAGCAAGATAAAAATACTTCTAATAATTTAGGTAGCTACGCCTGACCCCTATACTTAGGTGCCTACATTTCTTAGTGTTATACTTACTTTGCTTCCAACTAAGGAGCTAATAAGGAATAATACTTACGATTTGGCTAACATAATTTTATACTTAGGTAACTTAAGAACTGGGAGCAGTTGGTTGTGAAGCTGTGATGAAGGCAGCGATGCTGAGTAGCTGCAGCAGGTGACTGGATACCTCGTACTTGTTGCCGAAAATTCACATGATACTTACGATATTTCAGCAAATTTCTTAACCAAGTCCTATTAACGATTATGGTTCATAGAAGCCAATGTTTTTATGTTGTCAGAGATAGTCTTTTGCTACAACACCCTTCGACTGGGTTTGTTGAATAAATCTTAGTGTGACTGAAAAATTTACTGCTTTTAATAGTACCTCCTCCTATTTTCGAAGTCGGTAATAAGAATATTGCTTTTATGATAGGTAAGTAAGGTGTGTTTGTGAGCGTGTAGTGTATATTATGGAGTTAGTAATTGTTAGAACTGTTTTTGTATTTGGGTACTTCAAAATAAAAAGAAATAAACAAAACTAGGGTGATTAAATAATACATTTTTATACTTTCAGGGATATGTTTATTGTTTAATAACGCAGCCTAGGCTAAAGTAACATGAAAGTTCAGTGATATTAAATGGTGAATTCTTTACTATTACACATATCTCCCTCAACTTCTTTAGCAATTAAGATCTCGGTACATTTGACATACCTACTGACTAGTTACTTATCAAGACTCATTTAGACACAGATAGAAAGAACCTCAAAGAAGATTATTATGTTATTATAAATGGATAATTATATTACTACAATCTAACATACGTTAAACAAAGGTTTTAATTAATGAAGGGAGATTGTGAAATAGACACATAATTTTTCTACGTATATTAATATTCGGTATAAGAACTAATAATTTCAACTACGCACGATTATTGTATGGGTTTGATTAAAATTACAATTGTTAATGAAAACACTGGAACATTGCGAAAAAATGTGTAACTACTGATTATTTAATATGTATTTGACATCAATTACAACGGCTAACAGTGATTGTCCTGAGACTCATTGTCATAATTTTCATAAAGTTCAAACGATGTATAATATGTATAAACAGCAAATTATTCTTGTCTAATCAAATTTGAAGCAGCGATTTTTAACATCCAACATTTAATCACACCGCAAACAACAGAGTATTGCATTACAAATTCAAAAATTACGATGAATGTGTATAAGGACAATCGATATTCTTTATATTATAACAACGACTTTGCATAAGAATATTATAGGTAATTTATCCTGGAAGAAAATATATATATATATACGTATATATAAAAAAATGAAATAAATAAAAATAACTATGAAATTTATTTAAAAAAAAAAGAAATTAAAATAATAAACACATATAATCATTTATTCAATTACTAAACGAAATACAAGCCAATGTCAATCAATTCATGTTACGAATACTTATATAATCAAAATTATAAGTCTTCTCGTACATTGGAAAATAAATCACATAGTAGTGAGGCTGATAACGCGGCATTTAGTCTTTCCTTATTGGACTAGATACAACAATAACTAATGCATGAGATTTCACAATTGTGTAAAACATTCGACTACTCAAAATATCTAATGTATAAAAATAGTTAACAAATTAATTTACTCAACTCAAAGATACACAAATCACTCAGACCGCTTTACCAGCCTCTATGGAGACTACTAACATAAACTCTTTTACATAACAAAGACATTCAGTCGATAAGACCATCCATTATCAATTATATAATAATTTCCAAAATAAAATACATCTATTAAAATTACTAATAATTGATGAAAGGAACATTAAATCATTATTATGCTTCAAAACTTCTTTGCATAAATTTATATTGACTTTCTTACAGTATATTTGACAAAACGCGGCATTTTTAGTCACTTGATACTTTTATGTTTTTCTAGTTTTATTTAGTATCAATAATTATTTTCTGATTATGCCAACGGTATAAATAATTAATTGGTAATTAAAAGCAATGCTCCGAAGTAAGACTCCGAAGGTTAAATGTAAATAATAATATTATTTTTAATTAAAAAAGAAAATACTCAAAATATTTAGTTTTGTGAGTATTTATAATCTTAGTGAACAAATGCAAAATTAGCTATGTACTTTAAATCAACACAACATAAAAACAAGGCTCCAAGGATGTCCGAAGATCTCCCAAGAGACCTAGATTAGGCGCATATGAACTAAAAATGCCCGTCTACGGTACCCATACAGTTCAAATTAATTGAATAATGATACAATTAAATGTTCCCCGATTTGGCTACTTATGGACTTGAATGTGAATATATAATATAAATCTGAAAGTTTCCAGTTCATTCAAAATTTAACTAAAATATTTCATAGAGATATACAATATTTACACGATCTTCTTTTTACCTTTTTCTGGTCATATGCCGTAAAATCGACAATCGGTAAAAAGAAGTTTATTTACAATAATATGTACAAGATTAATATAATCTAATAAACTAACCTTACTCAACGAAATGACGTTTATCGTCGTTGTTGCGCTTCCGTCCTTTCGCATGTGCGAGCATTGTAACTAACTTTTTATGGCTATCTCCAACAATCCAGCCATGCTGCTGTTGATGTTCCTGTTCGTCTTCCCCGTCCGAGGACCAGTTGTAGTAGGCCGTGGTGCGGGGACGCGGTCTTGGTCGGTCGGTCGGTGGTCCGAGATGCGTATGCGCTGTTGATGTTGATGGCGTCGGCGCATCGTAAGGATTCACCGTAGTCCTATCTGCATCGTCGTTTTCATTGTATGCTCGACTAGTTCCTGAGTAACTTCCGTGACGGTTGTTATTGTTTACCTTGTTTTCGACATCTCGCTTTTTGAATGATATATGTCGACTATTCGTACGTTTTGCATTGGAATGATGATCTTTTTTCTTCCCTTTCTTTTTACGTGAAGTCAGAATAACCGACTCGGCGCTGTTGGGACGTGGCGGTAGAACATCTGGCTCGGATTCTGAACTCCAACTTTCAGCCAGCACATTTTGTTTTCCCACAGTACATTTACGACGCGCCCTTTGTCTAGCCACTCCCATGTCATCATATTGGATTTGCTCGTAAATATCAGCATTATAATCATAACTTGGGCTAATATGTTCATTTAATTTGTTAATCGGAGACTTTTCTTTAAATGACCTATCTTTTAATGTATCATGTTGCTTTCCAGTAATTAAATCAGTTTTTGAAGTTAGAGATTCGCTATATCTACTAGATCCATGTTTCGATTCATGTTTTTTGGGTGAATGACCTTTATTGTCTTTCGGCACATCTCTTTTCTTAGATGTAGTAGGTCCAAAGTCCGTCGGAATTGTTTTTGATGTTGAAGGGCCATAATCTATCAGGGGGGTGCTGTCATATTCTTTCGGAGATAATATAGTTTGGTGTTTGGGTGATGGACTGTTTAGTTTTCTAGTTAAAGAAAATTCATCTCTGTTTGAAGAACCTCGGTTGTGTTTATCATTTTTATAAGATAGATCATGCTGTTTTGGTGTTAGAAAATCTTCATCTTTGGTAGTTGGCGTTTCATCACACAGGTCTGAAGTTTTTGGTTTATCCTCAAGTAAACTGTCAAATAATTGATCTAAATTAGCCTTGGGTTTTACAGACTCCTTAATTTTCTTTTTGTCACTCCGCACTGCGTTATGTTTGAATATCTTTCCCATGACTGCATTTTTCTCTAAGGCATCTTTTCTTTTTAACGGAGATGAAATTTTCTTTGTATCACTGCCCACTTTGCCACTGTTCATCTCACAAGACATCAAACTATTTTCAGTTTCATCGTCACTACACACGTAATCATCAGACATGTATACGAAATCGTCTCCATCTGAGGCGCTATCACCAGAATTATCGGCATCTACTCCTGAGTTCAATTTGGACGTACTAGGACCATCGTTATTGTAGCTTATATTTTTAAATCTTTCCATTAAAGTTGAAGGTCTGAACTCAAAAACTGCATCTTCATTATCCAAAAATTCATAAACGTCAACTTCCTTCTGTAAAGTAGAACCATCTCCGTATCTTTCCATTTTCGCATCTGACGTCTTTTCTTTTCTGTTCTTTGAGCTACCTTTCTTTTTCTTCTTTGGTGATGGCGTAAGAGTGGGAACAATTCCAGAGATATTGATTTCTGAAGTTGGTATTGAAACTTTAATTCCGTCGAAACCTTTTAGAGCACCTTTAGTTAGAACTTGAGAGCTCTGGTGACCTTTTTTAGAATTTCTGCGCGTTTTCTTCTTTTCAGACTTCTTGCGGGACTTGAAACTAAAAAATAACACATTGTTAGTAAATAATACAAGGGATGCTTACAAAAATCAGTTGAACATTAAAACATACCTGTTGTTGGTTTCAATAGCAGCAGCTTGTGTTTGCTTTGCTGCCGCCGCCTGAGATCTACATTTTCTTTTTATCTTGTCAAACTTGTCTTCAAACATGTCAATAGGATCAATGATGTCGGGGTACATTTTGTCTTTAACTTCAGGATGCTTTTTCGTTTTAGTGGGAACGGGTTCTGAACAAGATTTTTCAGTATTAACTTTAGGTTCTGGACAAGAATTTTCAAGATTCGTATTAGCTTCAGGCCTAAGTTGCTCTTCATTAATTTTAGCTTCAGGAATTTTTTCCTTATTAACTTCCGGACAAGATGTTTCATCATTTGGAACAGGTGCTGAATAAATCTCTTCAACATTGGGTTTTGCTTCGGGATTACGTTTTTCATCCTGAAGTTCAGATTTTTCAATTTTAGCATCAATACGATTAGAATCAAGACAAGTTTTGTTATCATTAAAATTGAATTCAGAGCTGAACTTTTCATCATTCTGATTGGTATGAAGATTTTCAATATTAGGCTGAACTTCTAGATCTTGAACATTAACCATGAGAGTAGAACTTTCATTATCATGTTTAGTTTCATTATTAGGGTTGGATTCAGGACAGGTCATAGCATTATTTAGAATAAGTTGCGCACTGCTAGGTCCAGCGATTTCAGCGCTACAATAACTTATCTGGCCATTATCACTTTGATCTAATCCCACATCACTAACACTTCGTTGTAACATAACTTTTGATTTCTTAGAATTAGCATTTGCAGCTTCCTTAAGACCAGAAATTAAGTCCTTCTCCAAGTTTTTCACTTCGTCGCTGTCTAATATGTTTTTAGCTGTAATTGAATCCACATCACCGTCACCTTTAAGCGGTTTTTCTAAGAGATCAAATCCTTTGACAATAGGTTCAGACAAATTATTGGCCACTGGTTCTGAAATTGGTGGTGGCGCCGTAGGTTTGATTTCAGATTTATTGGCCTGAAGTAATTGACAACAATCAATAAAAAGTGCTTCGTCCATACTAAGTCCTCTTTGAGCTAATTTTTGTTCTTTGATTATCTTATTTACTTTTACTAAAATCTTGTCTAATGTAGGCATTATTAATTTTGGATGATTTTTCCTATTAGCATATTTTTTTGTCCTTAACTTCAGTCGATCTAATTGACGTTTATATGCAATAAGATAATTTGGCTTTTCATATATAGCATTAGTTTTCATGTTCAATTCAATTTCAGCCAACTTAGCCACATGAAGGACATTCATTTGATGTCGCAAGAAGTTATCCGATCGCCTGAATTCTTTTTTACATAGACGACAGAAGCATGGTATGGGCGGTAAGAATAAAGATCTTCTCACTTTCGGTACTTTCTTTATCGTTCTTCTGATTGTAACAGGTTTCTTTGCCCTGGTATCTCTAAATCTTTTATTTTCATTTTGATTATTTCGTCTGCTAGGTCTTTTCTTAGGACTAAGACATGAATCATCACTTTCATTACCAATGATATGAAATGTTTCGGATATTTTCTTAGACGCCAATAAATTAGATTTGCGTGGTTTTCTTTGTGAAAAGAAACCAAAACTTTCCATGAACTGTTCCGATCGAAGTTCGTCGACGTCATTTGATGTACCTGATTTTTCTAAATCATGGGAAGAAGAATAAGTTCGCCTACACCTCTTGCGATCATCATCGAGTCTAGTGCACGTTGCACTCCGTTTTCCACTTTTTCCTAAATTGGAATTTCGTCTGGAGCACATGTTGCCAGACTGTTGTGCTTTCTTTTCTTTTTCTTCTATATATTTATTTAGTGGAATATCGCTTTTTGATGAGTCGTCCGAATCAACTGCTTCATCTTTAGGTGCGGAAGTTGTTTTATTCTCACTATTATCATTTTGAGGTTTAGATCTTTTAAAACAGTTTTGACTTTTACTAGATACTAATTGTTTCCCTTTATATCTTTTATTATTTTTCTGATTTTCTGAACTATCTTTTTCACTTGTTTCACTTTTAAACAATTCCGGGTTTTCAATCATATCATCTAGGTCAATATCGTAGGGGTCGTAAAATTCAGTAGAAGATTTCACAACGACAGATTTAGATCGAGTCCTTCTTGCAGCAGCTTGCATGTAGCATGTAGTACGTTTTCTTGACTGTATTGATATATTATTTGCATTATCTTGTGCATTACTTTCAACAAATTTAAGTTTTTTCGTTTTTGAATTTTGTTTAAAATCTTCACTAGCCTTCCCATCTAATTTTCTTTTCTCTCCAGACGTATTTAATGAGTCCTTGCTTGTGGTGGGTCCCGAGAAAACAGCGCAAGCATTAGCTTTTTCATATTCATCGCGAGCTTGTTGAATAAGTAAAATTTGATTTTCAGTTTCAGCAAACTGTTCTTCTGCTGTAAGATGCGTGTTTCGCGGATATTCGTAGTGGATAGGACTTTCCGGGCGTATTCTTAGCTTAGACATTTTCTTGAGCTTTTGGGAATGCCTTTTCTTACGTTTTCCAGAAATTTTAAGCGATCGATTTTTCTTACAAAGCTTTTTTAACTTCTTTGTTTTCTTACTTTTTGTTTCTTTGCATTTTTCTGAACCACTTGTTTTAGTGTTATCTAAATTGTCACCTGTAGGGGTGTTTGTTTCCAAAATTAATGAAATATTATTTGTTTGTATATTGTTATCTTCCGTAGTATTATTTGCATCTTTTTCCGGCGTAGAGTGTGCTTTTGGCTCGGTATGAATTTCTTCATCTAGTAACAATTTAGAAAAAATAAGTTGTTTCTTTGTAAGTGGTGTCTTTTGTTCCATAACAGATTCTGTTTCATCCGAATTCTCCGATCTAATTACCATGTCTTCAGCAACTACAGATTTTCCACGTTTGCTGCGTCTTAGAGCTTTTAAATTATTTTCATCTAATTCAGATTGCGATTGCAGATCATTGACTTCATCTTTTTCAACTTCCTTATTAGTTTTAACATAAGTGTCTTCTTTATTGTTGTCACATATTTTTTCAAGGTTAGATGTCAAATTCTCAATAGTCTCATTGTTGCTATTTAAAACCTTTTTGTTTGAATCTTGAGGACCATGAACTTTATCCAAATCTGTGACATCTGCATTATTATTTAACATGTTCGAAGAGTTGTCATCTTTTATAATAGCAGTCTGGTTATTTATGTCGTCTTTTGCCGAGATGGTCGACGATTTACGTTTGTGTTTTTTCTTTTGTTTGCTTTTTCCAACACGAGTGTCGTGTGAACTTGATTTGAAGATATCATTAGTTTCCAAGTGTTTAAGTGCTTTACTTTCGTGTATAGCACTTTTATTTACACCCTCATTTATTTTTAAATGAGTGTCGGTATTCGCTTCATTCACAGATTTACCACGAATAATTGGAGAATTTTCTAAAAGTCGAGTGTCCTTTGCTTCACGTTCTGTATTTTCAAAACTGTTGTGACTTTGTTCTGTAAGCTGCACATTTCCGAAATTAGGTGGAACACCCACTTCTGTACGCTGTTGGTCTATTTCAGTTGTTAAGCGTTCAGCCAAATTAGGCACATTACTGTTCAGGATTTCCTTCACACTGTCCGCACTGAGTGATTTTTGATGCTTTTTAGCAGTTGCATCTCTGCTTGAGCTGTTTGTTGTGTAGCGAAGATCATTTGTGCTGCCTTTTAATTTATGCACATCCTTATTTTCATTTGTGATTGAACGTTCTTTTTCTAATTTTTGTAATACATGTTTCATTTGATCGCGATTTTTAACAATTACTGCAAGAGAAACATCATCGTCTGAATCTTCATCATCAACAATGGTGGTTTTAACAATTGTTGCACTATGACCAACATCAGTTACTGGTTTATCAACCGATGTGTGCTCATCTTCAGCAGGACTGGTTTCATCTAGACTGTTATTTGATGGTAACTGAGCTTCATCCGGTAATTGTAGGTTAAATGTTCTTTCTGAAGAGTAAGATTGTGGGCGAACATTGTCATCTTGTTGTGAAATTGAAGACACGTTCTTTCTTGTACTCATAGTGGTATGGGCATTATTTGAATCATTATCTATTTTTGGTATTTCTTTTACAGTTTGTCGTTTTCCTAATTCATTATTAGTAGAATTTTCGGGCAACGGTTTTGTTTCGACAGGTAACTCGACTGAGAAGTGTTTGGGGGCAGCTGATCTACATGCCTTCTTCTGTCGAGTGCTACATTGTTCGCCGTGTTGAATAGTTGGCGATGCATTACTTTCCAAAAGTATATTATGTCTCTCATCTTCAACTTGAGCAACATTAACTAATGTTGATTTAATAGATTTATTTGCCACTGGTTGCTTTTCGATTTCTTGGGGTGAGTCTCTAACTGTAGCAATTTCTTGGGGTGGTTCTCTAATTGTACCTATTTCTTGTATATTTGTTGATTTAGCCAGTAAAGAAGCTTGACTTCCGCTGCTAGAAGATTGTTTTCTTTCTGATGGCGTTTTAATACGTACAGCTCTTAAGCTAGCTGTTTTATCACTGACGGTTTTAGGTTTTGATGTTGTCACTACTTTAACATAGTTTGTTATTTCTTGTGTTGTTATTATCGCTGGTTTAGGTAAGTTTGCTGTCAATTTCCGCCTCTCTTCATTTAAGGGTGAGTTTCTGTCTTCGTTCAAATCTCCTATTTTATTTCTGTTCTCCGCATTTTCGACAGAAACGTTTTCTGTTTGAACTACCGATCTAAATGACAGAGCTTTATCACTGTTATCGTCAACATTTTCCTCTTCTTTAACGTTTAACGTCCCAACAGGAGGTTTCATATCTTCTTCTGGATCATCAACATCCGTCTTAACGACTGCTGGTAAAGGCGGGAACAACGGCGGTGGTGGATTCGGTGGTAAAGGTGGAATAAATCTTTCCTGTACGAGTGCTATTGACGCCACTTGTACCGATTGCAATCCAATATTCATAGGCGGCGGTGAAGACGGCGATTTGATTTCAATTGACGGCGGTGGCAGTGGAGGTAGTGGGGGAGACAGTATTTGAAACGGCGGTTGTGCCGCCGGTGGCGGAGGTGGTGGCTGCGGTATGGGCGGCGGTGGTGGCGGCGGCGGCGGCGGTGGTGGTGGCGGTGGTGGAGGTGGTTGTAGATAAGTCATTGAATTACTTTTTTCAATGTTAAGCGCTCTCATGAATTGAGAGGCACAATGATGCATGTTTGTCGGCAAATGGTAGTTTGGAATAAAGGTATTCACATCATTAGCCATTTCATCAGGTCCTGGGTTAGATGAAGATTGTTGAACATTTATTTGCGCAACATTTGAAGCAATATTTCCGCAATTATGTCTTGTTGTTGCCGTCGAAGGAGAAACATATTGTGGAAGTACGTTTAAGAGCTGGTTCCTGTTAATAGCAGGCATAGTTCCTAAAATTTCTACTAATTCTTTAGGCAACATTGCTATTTTCTTAGCCATTTCGGGGTCTTCAGATTCGGTAACCACTTTATTAATATCAAATTTCTGATTTGAATCAATGCTACTATTTTTATCAATGCTATTATTTTTGTCAATGCTAGATTCGAATGTGGTTTCTGTTGGAGCCGATGATTGTGAGAAGCTACTTGTAGCTACTGATCCTGTTATTGGACTATCAATTGTCATAGCCCCATAATGCAATGGAAATTCACTATTAGAATTAGCTGAAGAGTGCGGTGGTATGGTATTTGCTACAGTAAAATTAACAGCATTTAGAGTATCATTCATCGTAATTGGACTGTCATGGTTTTTCACCGATGTTGTCATAACTGGATTCGGAACTGTATAAACGGATAATGTTGTAACAGAATCATTGACAGCATTGACCGTGGAGCCCACATGAGTCGATGGTATTACTTCTCTACCAAGGTGTGTACTACTCAAAGAGCAAATAGGTTGAGATTCCGAATGAGTTGAAACTATAATATATCTAGCGTCACTCATATCCATTTGATTAGCTGTTTGCGAAATCCCATTTTCAATAGTAGTCATTGTATATTGTTCGTTATAACTCTTCTCTGCGGCAAGCGTTAAATTCGTTTTTATATCAATTGAGCTGTTGTACGGAGATTTAGAGTCTTCAGTGCTTATTACATCAACAATACTTTCATCTTCAGCTGTTGAATCTACCGAATGAGAAGAATTTTTAATTTCTGGCACTTCGAGAATTTCAGAAGAATTTTTAGTTGACAAGTCTGTAGGTAAATCTGTAGTAGCTTCAATGGCTTTTACAGTATCTGTAGATTTCCCGGCTATAGTATCCCTGTCTGACAAACTTTGAATGCCATAAACTATTTTTTTCTTTTTGTCATTTGATATTTGCTTGGACATTCCTTTAAGCGATAAATCCTTGGGAACACTCAAATCAGTAGCAGCATCTTCTGCAGGCTTTTCGGGTTCTGATTGGTCAGAAACATTAAAGCGCAAGTCTACAACATCAATAGGGACATCTGATTTCTTTTTTGATAAATCTAAAGAGCCGTCGTTTTTATACTTATTTGCCAAATCTGAAGATCTTTCTGTTGGTACTGCTTTTCCAGATAGATCCAAAGGCTGGGCAGGCGGAATGTTTGTTTCTTCTGGATCCTTTTGAGATCCATCACTATCAGAATGTATATCATTGTTGGAATAGTGCGCTTCTTGATAGGCTTCAGGACGTGAACTGGTTTCGCTGTACTCACGTAACGAGGTATTTCGAACCATTAGTTCCTGTTCTGTGATTAGTTTTTGTTCCATTGATGATCTATGTTCAGAAACTCTTCTTTCGTTTAATCTTTGATCGTGGATCGATCGCTCTACTAAGTGATTCGTATGTTCATTTTCTACAATTTGTTCCGATATTATATCACGATTCCTAGATGACCATTGATCATGACTTTGTTCGCTTGAAGATGCATTTTCTTTAGTAAATATTTCACTACTAGTGCTTCTATGGCCACTCGACCTAGTCAATTCTGTCGAGAAAACAGTTTCATTTGTGTACTTTTCATTAGATAGCCTCCGGTCGTTAGAAATTCTACATTCAGTTGAATGGTGTTGCTCATGGGAAGGCGTTTGTTCAAAAGATGGTCTTTGTTCACGAGGCGGCATTCGTTCAAACGAAGACCCACGTTCAAAGGAAGGGCCACGTTCAAAGGAGGGCCCGCGCTCAAATGACGGGCCGCGCTCAAATGACGGCCCGCGTTCAAATGAAGGGCCGCGCTCATATGACGGCCCGCGTTCAAATGAAGAGCCGCGCTCAAATGACGGGCCGCGTTCAAATGATGGGCCGCGCTCAAATGACGGTCCGCGTTCAAATGACGGGCCGCGTTCAAATGACGGGCCGCGTTCAAATGAAGGTCTGCGCTCAAATGAAGATCTTCGCTCAAAAGAAGGTCTACGTTCAAATAAGAGCCTTTGTTCCGGAGGTGATCCTCTGTCAAACGAAGGTCTCCTTTCACAAGAAGGTCCACGGTCAAATGAAACTCTTCGCTCAGTGGAAAGCCTACGTTCTGTAGAAAGTCGTTCATCGGAGACACGGCGTTCAACAGAGAGTAGATGTTCTGCAGATATACGGCGATCTATCGTTGTTGCCTGTGCTCTAGACAAAGATTGGTCATTTAATAACCTTAAATCACTTGTGATATGGTCTTGCATTGATAAATTGTCATTTGACGACCTGAGTTCATAAGCAGGCCAAAGTTCACTTGATATTCTCCTATCAGAAACATTTTTCTTTTCTTTTGAAGACCTTCTCTTACATGGTCTTTGCTCTGGAGGCAACATTTGTTCATTTGTTGGATGCTGGTCTATATTTTGTTCTGTTAACAATCTGCGATCCGCGTACGTCAATTGTTCCGAGTAAAGTCTTTGATCAGGTGGAGGCCTATGTTCTGAAAAGGTCCTAAGATCTGGACATAAAATTGGGTCAGGATACGTTCTCTGCCCAGGATATAACCTTTGATCTGGATATCTTTGGTCCGCATACGTTATCTGTTCTGAAAGCGGCCTAGGGTCTACATGCTGTCTCGGATCGGGTAGTGATCTCAGATTGTTATATTGTGACATTTGTTCCGAGAATGCTAATTGTTCAGAATATGTCCTTGGATCAGAATGAGACGAATGATCTTGGTATATATTGTGGTCAACATGTGACCTCAAATCTGAGTACGGTCTATGTTCAGTAAAATTTCCTGAAAAGGTCCTCCGTTCGGGTAATGTCTGTTCCACATATGATCTTGGATCCCGGAAAGGTCTTTGTTCAAACAACGATATCTGTTCTGCTAATGTAATTGGATCTGGTAACGATATACGATCTGTTGGCTGTGATCTATGTTCATTGTGCGATCTATAATCAGATAAAGATCTCTGATCTTGAAATGATCTCTGTTCTGTCCTCTGTTCTTCATGTAATCTCAGGTCAGCCGCTGATCTATGCTCCGATAATGTACGTTGTTCAGTTATTGAATTTTGTTCACTAACTACGGGGTGTTGGTAAGACTTGTTCTCAATAAGGCGACCGCCAGACATGTCATACGTATGATGATATTCAGCTCTATGAGGAGATTTTGAATCTTTAAAGAAATTTGTTGGTTTTGTTAGATGTGGTTCATTTTGGTTGTTACTTTGCTTCCGTTTCTTTTGCTTATCACTTTCTAGGCTTTTATTCGAATACTCATCAGAATATTGCAGTGTTAAATGAGGAGGATTTTGGAGCGGTACTCCAATAGAGGTTTGAGGGATGACTTCAATCTGCGAGGGCAAACCAAACAAATTCTGTTGCATATTAGGTGGCGCATTTGATCTCAAACGTGTTGATTTTCTTTTTACAGGTGTTTTCTTAGGTTGTCCGCTGCCAACTGAAGATTTCTTTTGTCTTCCTCTGCAACCACCTTTGCTATCTTTGGCTGAAGCCGCAAGCGTTTCCTTACACAAAGCTAAACCATGTGCTACTTGTTCAATAGATATGTGCTGCGGTAGATTACTTTGGTAATGGAAATCCACTCTGTCTAGTGGTATCACAGACCGAGAGAACACTTCCGCCGGATTCGGGTCTATTTTGCGGTCAAATGTGGGTTGCAAAAAGAATCGAGGGTTTGGATCGATAAAGTTATCATTTCTAAACGGCACACCCAGCTGGTTTGCGTGATGCACTGCTGCATGAGTAGCTAGTTGCACTGCAGGATAAGCCGATGGATGAACCACAGGATGAGGCATAGCAAGCGCAGTTGGAGGAGCTACTAAATGCGCGGCAGAATGTGATACCGCTGCATGTGAGGCCGTATGTGTGGTGGCAAGTGCAGCGTGGGTTGCTGCAATAGCTTCAGCTGAATTTAGAGCTAGATATTCAGCTGAATGTAGTGTTGGTTGAGTCGACGTACGTGTAGGTAGATGAGATATTGGTTGTGCATGTAAACTATTTGACAAAAATTCTGCTGTATGATGATTTTGAGCAAGTGGCAGAATTAATGGATGCACATTTGGAAGATCACGTCTAGTTGCTATTTGAGCAACTGGTTGCGTACGTGTGTCTATGTCCGGTAAATGAGTTAGCCGGTTGGTTACAGAATAACCGGATGGTCCGGCAACTGGTTCGTCATTATCAATAGAGTCAACATTTATATTGGGGTCTTCAAGTTTGTTCTTTAACATCGCGATACAGGCATTAAGGCCTTTTCGTGTTTTATTACCCCTGGATTTCTCCAGGGCTAATTTGCCACACGAGAAGGCAGCCTTTTCATATGTTTCAGGTTCATCGACTTGACTCATAGACAAGTCTTGGACCTCGTCATTATCATCGTCAGGACGAAAAAGTCCTTGATAGGTTTGAAGGGACGTTCCCCCTCTTTCACCATCTGCTGTTAAAGATGCGATTGAATAATTTAGATCGTTCGGATCATTATCCGTTGAGGGGTCTCCATCGTCTTCTTCCGAGTTCTTTTCTTTGCCACCGCGACTACTTCCGCGATGATGATTTCTTTGATTATCATTCCCTTGGTTATCATTGCCACGATTATAGTTTTCTCGACTATTATTTCCTCGTTCATAGTTTCCTCGGTTGTTGTTTCCCCGATGATTGTTAGACCGATTATGATTTTCTCTACTATGATTACCCCGGTTATTATTATTTCCCCGGTTGTAATTACCACCACGCCCAGAATTCTGTCTGGAACTAAACTGGCTATTATTCACATCAATTTTTTTAGGTGTATTATTTTTGAGAAAGTCGTCACTTGACGAATCATTTCCGTCACCATTTGAGTCACCATCGGTTTGTTGATTTTGATTATCAGAAGTATTGGACTGGCTACCTGAGCTCGTTGGAGCATTACTCGAGCTCGCAGACTGTTTACTTGAGTTGGTAGACTGATTGCCAGACCTTGTGCTCGTATTACCAGAGCCCGTCGACTGATTGTTGAAGGTCGTAGCCTGTTTCCCTGAACTTGAGGATTGCTTGCTAGAGTTCATAGATTTTTTACCTGAGTTCACTGGTTGCTTTCCCGAACTCATATTTTTCATTTGAATTTTTCGTTTGGCGCGATTAAGCACAGCTTTTCTTTTAAGAGTTTCAGGATGGCGGGTATTTTTATCAGCAGGTCGTCTGATTGGTCTAAGAAACTTATCATCTTCATTAGATTTAGACGGTTTGTCATCCTCATTATCTTTCTTGTGAACATTTTTGATAACTTCTTCTTTGTTCGTAGACGTGTTCAAAGAACTTGAAGAACTATTAAGTTCTTTCAGGGATCTAAGTTTCCGAGTAATCGAATCTTCTGACGAACGATGTTTGATTAGAAGTTTATTTCTTTGTTTGTCTAGTTTTCGACGAGGTCGTAACGAAGGATTAAGGGGATTAATCATTACACGATGACGTTTTGCGGGCAGGTCTGCAATCATTTTCCGGATTGTCTCGGCTAGAAATAAAGTTTACAAGTTAACAATAAGAACATAGTATAAAACGGCATCCTAATAAAATACTAATATGCTGTCATTGTGACAATGGTAAAAAAGGTAATTTGAAAATTACTTTAATATTGATGTCTATTATGAAAAAGATATTATGGCTTATTTTTATTTTACAAGGAAAATGAACATTTAAGTATAAAATTCCTTGCCATTTTGTGAAAAGACGAGCTAAGTGTTAATAATAATTTAATAGTCAAAAATACTTACCATCACCAACTTCGCTCCGTATTTTCTGCCGAGGCCTCAAGTGGTTCTTTTGTTTGTGGCGATTTCTTAAATCCTTTCGTATTTTTCTTCTTATAACATTATCTGGTAGACGTGGTCGTCTTCTACGTACTCCAAAGGGCCTATATCGGCATTTTCTGCGCACTGCTGGCGTGTCACCGGCACAATCCAGCATATGTTGGTGTAAGTCTTTCAAAGTTATTGATTTTTTACATTTAGTGCAGTCTCTAAAACCTCTCAAAGGGCGGGTTCTATTGGACACCTGGCTTGGCGGTACGTACAAATGCTTTAAAATGTCAGCATTTAGTAATGGTTCTCCGACTATTTCATAATGCTGTACTTGTGCATTAGGATGATGTACTGATATATGAGATGAGAGTGCTTTAGAATCTCGAGTTTGTGCACCGCATGCGCAACATACATAACATCTGGGTCTTACCCATTCTCCACTAAGAACTGCAGGTTCTAAATTGTAAGTGGGTGTAGTTGGTGTTAAACCCAGAAAACTAGGAAATTCAATGGCTTCTCTAACAGGAGCCCTTGGTACGTTTGTATATTTTGTAAGTTGTGTAGACGGCGTAGGTAGTTCTCGGCTTTCTAGGATCTCTTTTAATTCTTTATCAATAATGTTTTGTTTTTCAGTCTTCTTCTCTACGTGTGAAATATTAAATTGTTTGTCATATTTCTTGCGCATACTTAATTGGGTCCATATATCTAAACTTGAAACCAAAGTAATAATGCATTTATTGGTATGAGAATCTCGCTTGATTTGATCTGCATTAATAAAGCTTTTGTCTATTTCCGGACTATCCCACTTCCATTTGTGTTTAGGTGCAATAGATCTAGGTACATAGTTCTCAAAAATGTTACGAGAATATTGTTCATAAGCTAACAGTATCGGAAAACCTTCCGCAGTATTGATAACAACACTATTTTTAGATTTTCTTGTTTTAATTGTATTTTCCGAATCTGGATTAAAATTAAACGAACCATCAAGATATTTTGCTAAATTTTCGGCGACGTTACTCGCGACTTTGGAGTAGAAATTGGTTTCAAAACATTTTTCGAATTTTTGGGTAATATCGTCACTAGTTTTGATCCAGTCCTTCCTAGTCGATTCGCCTGTCCTTGGTGATCTGTGCACAACACCTAATCTCGAAAGAATTTGATCCGCGTCTGTATTATGGAATGAAAAATTTGGGGGTATTCGTTTATTCCATTGTATATCATCTAAAACAATCACTGCATTTTTCTCAATAACTGTATTGTTGCCTATAGATTTACTGGGTGGTAAAATTAAATTTGTAGTGATGTTGTCTTCAATATCCGCTTCATCATGCTGAGATGGTTTAAGTTCACACGAAATTACAATTCCATTAAACCCGTGAGTTTCAATTACTTCTTTATCGCTTTGAAAATCACTTTGTCTATCAACATTGGTATCTCTTTCAGATTTCTTCAAGGCTGGCAAATTCTTCTGACGTAATTTGCTCCGATAAGGCTTTCGTTTTTCACAAACGTTCAACTTATGTTCCGAGAGTTCTGCGGCTGATGTAAACCGCGTTTGACAATCCAAACAAGTAAAGTATTGATTTGGATGACTATCGACCATATGACGAAGGATGTCACTAGCCTCAGCCTCAGTGTGGCTACAGAAAAGACAGGTAATAAAAAAGTCTTGTTTTGAGCTCGACAAGTGCATACGCCGTGCATGTTTGGAAACAGTTTGTTTAGACGTAAATTTTCTATCGCAGTAGGGACAAAGAAAATGCGGAGAAGAAAGAGTATCAGACTTGTCGAGATCATCTGTTTTGTTTGGTAAAGCCTTAGACGGTGTGTTTGTCCTCTTAGGTCTATCCAAAGTGGATTTGCCTTCACTTTTCCTAACATTTTTAATTGTGGGACTGCATGTTCGCCTTCTAGGACGTAGTCGTTGATTTAATGACGATAATGGTTCGTCTTCGCTATTCATAATGAAAATTTCTTCAGGGCTGTAACAAAGAAATAAAAACCTTTGCAATAGGCTAACAAAGTATTTACTGAAGACGAACTCTCAATGTTAAAAGCACTGGATTTTTATCAAAATTATCATTTTAAATATGCTAATTGTTTTAGACCCTTCAATGTTGAATTAGATGTAATTTATCAATAATGTCTTGAAATGGTGTGAATAAAATGGTGAGTATAGTGGTTGAATAACTTTTAGTAAAAATCAGTGTTATATAGTAAACAATTAAATAAGAGTTTCTAATATAAGATATGGTAAACTATGTCTACCTGAAAGGTCTCAATTACGTTGTTTTTTTAAGAAAATTTGAAAACAATCTCAAGATACTGAACTCACTGACATACGAAAAAGTAAGTATTTAAAATAGCGATGGCACGGAAAACTCCATAGTTAATTATTAGGTACATCGTTTCGATTTTTAATTTCAAAATTCTTCGTTATTTTAAGACTCGAAAATGGCAGAAATGGTATGGTATGATATGAGCCAATTTTTTTATTTTAAAATAAGTTGAGTAACGTTGAAAAGTGGGATAGGATGAAAAAAATGCAAGAACATAAATAAATTAAGTAATTTTCATTTCTTTCAGAAATAATGTTATTTAAGAAAAATTGTAATAAATGAAGACCACACTCACTAATTCATTATTAGGCAGATCTTACACATATTCCGTAAAAGTCGTAATTACAAAATGTTAGAAAGAGTTAAATTCACTAAGAAGCACTGTGATATTAGAAATTTTACACATAACATACCATCACGCCTTTTATCTACGACAGGGTAGGCAGAGGTGCACATTAAGCCACCCATTTTTCACTATTTATGTTATGATTCCATGTAATAGGGGGTGAGCCTATTACCATATACCGGGCACAAGTCCAGTCTCCGTGCTACTACTGAGATTTTTTTTAAACCTAGTAGTACTTTGCCCGACCCGGGAATCGAACCCGAGACCCCTTGCCCGGCAGTCGCACTTGCGACAACTCGGCCATCGAGGCAGTTTTATTTTAGAAAGTACTCGACGAGTAAATTTTACTCAGTTTTATTTTAGAAAGTATTCTACAAAAAAATATCTGTATATAATAGTATAATATTCTCAAGACGAGCCTATCATGGCACGCCCTGTCAAAAGAAAGCTCGCGCTCGTACCTACGACGAGACCATAATAACCAAAAGGATTCGTGTAGTCGTGTGTACTAAATCCATCAGTTCATTGTTTTCGAGTGCACTTTACCGAGTACAAGATAGATTGACAAAACAGACACGTACGTATATTTCATGTTTTCGACATGTCATTTCGACAAACAGCGCTTCGATAAAATTGAAATAAATACGAAGACCTGGAGATCGAGCTCAGTGGCGTGTTGGAAATATTTGAAAATGAAAAAAGTTAGCCAGCAATTCATAATGCTATGTCTAACAATGCCTTCTTTGGGTAGATAATAAAAAGATAAAAGTTATGTAATTTTTATAACACCGGTTCACACTATTTGCTCCTATGTCGAGAGGTCTTTTACTAACATACAAGTTCATAGAATTACACAGATCATACTCAAACCCGAAATAGCACTATATGGATGACACAAAGCGTAGTAATGTGCGAGAATCGAACCCGACACACGTCATTTTCAGCTGGCACCCACAGTGCAGTTATTGATATGGTCGAAGTATCAAAAAGAGTTTAAAATTGTTTTTATTAATAAGAAAATAAACAACGAGAGCGAAAACAACTAGTGACCAATAAAATTATCATTTAATATTAGTTAGTCGATTATTGTATATAGTTTTATCTAAAGATATTGTTATCAGTTATCTATAATCTAAATAGATATAAATAATTCGTTTTTAATTACCGATATACGCCTTTTTGGAGATGGGACATCGTCTAAAGAAAATTCCGCCTTGGGTGAGGCGAGAGGGAGTATCAGACCTTAGTGACTAAAAACTACCCTGTTCCTACTTCTGCAAATTATTTTGGGATGAATAATATTATCACCATCATCATCATATCAACTACAAGACGTCCACTGCTGGACATAGACCTCCCCAATGACTTCCAGACAGGCCGGTTGGAAGCCACCTGCATCCAACAGCTCCCTGCGACCTTAACTGGGTCAACCGGCTACCTTGTGGTTGGCGCTTACACTACCTACAGGGTGATTTTTAATTGGTCCTTTTATGACGTAAATTGCCTAACAATATCGATTACATTTAGAAAAAAAAATCAACAATTCGACAATCGAGTTTTATCTTATTTAATACGTATCAAAAGCTCAGTACATTGACACGAAAATATAAAAGTGAGTTATCCCACATGTTTTTCTTGAATACACTACTAAAGATGAGAAACTAGTTCTAAATATTTGAAAGTCTCGACCAACAAGTATACGAAGCTGAGGCAAAAGTCCCCAGTATTGTTACAGCTCATTTGAATATTTCAGTGAACATTGGAGACGGCTTCAGCGGACAAACTTACACAGTTGCTGTGTCACTACTAGTTTAGAGCACTCTTGAACTACTTTGAGATAAGTTTCCTTGTATTTTATCTATTTATTAAATGACTGTAAGTATGCACGATTGAAATAGCAGATTAGAAAAAAAAATATTTGGTTGTCGCACATGTTGCTCAAGATTATAAAAGCCCTCGATTTGGCTTGAAACTAGACGAAATTTGTTAGTACTCAAAAAAGCGAGGTGGCACGTCATTCGATAAAATCAAGCAGAGATTGCCGACTATTGTATTTAATTCAAAATCATGGAGAGGTTTGAATTAGTTAATTTCGACATTTTTTTCCTGGCAAGTACGGTAAATACTTCTATCTATATCTATATTAGAAAAATCTTCGGTTATTTTATTTTTAAATATTATGAAAAAATTCTATGTCGTTTACTGCCAAGTAATGAATTAGTGTTTTGATCTTCATTTAAACTTAGACCTAGAGTTGTAAGAAATTCGAGTCTTTTAGTCAATTTTAAAAACTAGAACTCAATAGTCTCTCGGGTCCCGATTCTTTTCGAGACTTTGCTCGTTGAGCTATACTGAGTCTTGAATTATATGTTGTAGTAGATTATAGTATGTAGTACAGTAGAATGATTTAATTTCGTCACCCATATTTAAGTATTTGATAATTGAAAAGAAAATAACACAAAAAATGTGTAACAGTTAGACGGGTCACACACGAGCTACTGATAAATACGTACCAGTGAAATCAGTAACCTTTTATTGTCATTTAATTTGCTTTTGTGTTCAACTATTATTATGACTTTAGAAGTCTTATTTATGAAACCTTTTAAAAAGACTTTTTGTCAGGACTCGGGCCTTTTTATAAAAGACTCCAAATTCTGAAGAGCTTGAGCTCTCACTTTTATTCAATACTCGAGTTTCCTAAGTCTACTTAGACCATCAGTAAACCTATGCGCAGCGTAGCATGTCAATACCGCGTTCGTAGCGCTACAGCTTTTCGTAGCCGTAGTAGCTCGTAGCGCAATCAGCAGTCGTAGTTACATCTTTTGCATAAACCTAACTTTGTAATAACTTGCATTTTTTTCATAACTAAATAAAACGTATATATTCGTGAACTTCAAATTAAAAGTCATATTTAAAAATATCAACTTCTAACTCAATAGTTAGACAAAATCTAATTTCAGTCCGCCCAACATGCGCAGGCGCAGAACCAGTGAAACTGGTTAAAATATAAATTAATATTATTATTTTTTTCTAAATAATTGTGAATTAGATAGAAAATTTGAGTAAGTTGTTATTTGATTAAGAATTGATGACGTTGTTGATTAAATTAAATCTTTAAAATTAGTTTCCGCCATTAAGTTGCGAGTTCATAGAAATCCTTAATTATTATTATTTGTTCCCATGTATGTATATTACGTAACAACTGTATGCTTGGTGTACCGGCGCCGGCGCATATTGAACTCCCAAATTATTTTTGACATTAACAACTTCTTGAACTCCCAAATTATTTTTGATCGCAAAACGATGTATAATTCATGTGATCGCCATTCCATACCATTTTAAGTAATAATCTTCTATTTTAAAAACACACGTCATATTTAACTAGAATTTTCATAATTTAGACAGATTAGTAGTAAAAACACAAAGTAATTGAGACCACACAGGTGTATGAAACTTAAGCTAATGATGCCAATGTGAAAACAAAATGTCAAAAAGATGCAGCAGGTTGACTATATAATGCATTATATTAGTAGCAAGAGGTTGGTATGGTGTAAAACCCAATAATTATAATTAACATATGGAGTTATTGGATAACGAAATATCTTCCTAATTGAGAAATTAACTCGTCGAGTACCGGTTTTATAGACACAATTAAAGAACAATAGGTCGCGGTCACCGGTGACCGCTTGGTGTTTGACAGATTAAGGTCTGTTCGATCACAAATTGAAATATACATGGAAAACGTTGACGACTTAGAAAATGGAGCAAGCCACCATGTAATCGCGGTTCATAAATAATTTAATCATGCTGCAATACTGAACCTTTTCCCACGGGGACTATTGATTTTGTGCGAATTATTCAGCATACGTAATTCATAAAACTGCATTACAAGACGTTTTAAAACATCATCATATTTTGCGGACAAACTTTAATTTACCCCATTTAAATTCTAGTACCGAACAATTATGCAATTTCCAAAACTTTTCGTAATATTACAGTCCTTGTTTGCGCTAAGTGAGCGTAACTAAGCCGGGGTAAACTACGCGAGGCGTGAGTGCAACTGTATGAATTATGAAGGGTGCGACGAGCAACACCACTTTGCTACGAGCTACGAGCTACGCCGTAGCCCGATGTGTGCTACGATGATTACATGCACACATTGTTTCCGCCGAGAGTAAAAACATGAGCATTTTTACGTGAGTTACACAGTTGCACTTTTGTATTCACGCGCTGTATTTTATCTCTATTGTCTTTTTTCATTATTTTTCAGCTTTTTTTGTTTTACTAATTACCTAAGGACCTTATTTTGTTACATCACCATTATAACGATGATGGAAATCTGAATCAACAGAACTCTAAGGTTGATCGGTTATCGGCAAAAAAATAATTTCTGTTATGACACTTTATATTTTTCTTATAGTCCTCGTGTGTACTTGGTTTATAAAACGTGTAATAATAAACTTTACGACCCTGTTCCTATGATTACGTAGGCAGTACTTACATTTTGTAAATGTTCAAAGAACAAAATATTGTTCGAAGGACATTTCTGAACAATAAACAGGCGTGTAAGTATTGAACGTACAAAAATAATATCGCGTTCCACGAAACCTTTTGATGTCAAACATGAAAATAAAATTGTATTCAGAAACCCAATTAATTAGGTATTGATAGGTATTCTGATTATATTGTTCTTTATTTAATCTGTATATTTTCACTTGCCTACAATCTTATTAAACTGATAACTATGATAGTTTGTGACTGAAGTTCTATTTATGTTTGTTACACAGTCACATCAAAACGTCTTAAGTTTTCTGGATGTAATTAAGAACAAGGGTAGAACATGAAACTTGTCATCACACGGGAACACGCGCGAGGTCCCTGGCAGAAGCTAGTTCGTTTGTAGAGTTCCCATAGCCAGTACCTGTGTACCTTGAATTATCCTTGTGCGCCACAGCGCATTTCTGATCAATTGATAGAGTGGCGGATGCGTCAGATGCATGTCATTGCGATCCATGTCAGGCAAGGTGCAATACGGTACACTAACGATATCATTATCACCAGTTAACTTTAAGGCTGTACACACATTGTGTCAGTATACAAATTGATTTATTTATCGATAAAAGTCTCGAATTTATCAATATTACGATCAATCTTGAAGAATCGATCAATCGAATCGGCCTAATATTATAAACGCGTGTGTTATTTATTATCAATAACGTTTTATGAAAATCGAATTAATAGTTTAAGAGGTCCCAGTATTTTGCCGAACTAATTAAAGGTTTTAATAGCAGGGGTTTATTAAAAAATTTTTTTTAAAAAACATTTTCTATGTTTGACTATTAATTACAACCTATTACAGCCAATTTTTTATTTTATCCGCTCCCGCTGTCTCGAACTAATGTAATCGTAGCTTTAAAGGGGAGATAAATGCAAATCACCTTGCAATTTAATTGTATTTGGAACAATCTGCATACGAGGTGAAAACTAGGTAGATAGATCAAGCAGAAATCTAGTATCACCGGTATTTTTTTAATCTATTAGTCAGAGATATTTCTAACACACAACCCTGTAACTGGTTAAGGTAAGGTAATTTTATATAACCGCCCACTTCCATGTCGATAACTTCACATGCGTATGCGCAGCTTGCCCAAACGCCACATGCGTCAGACGTGGACGCACCATTACACCTCTTGCTTTATAAGTTAATATAATAATGCATTAAATAGAAAACCAACCTTAATGTGTTAACTAGTAAAAAATCAAACTGATTTCTAGGTACTTTATATTCTTAAGTACTTTTAGAATATTTGTGAAATAATGATAAATCGATCAAAAACTATTGATAAAAAGAAATCAGTTTGATTTTTGACGCAATGTAAAATGCAATTTTTGATAATTATAGTCTACTCAGCTAGTGCTTTCTTGTTCAACATATTTTAACAATGCCGTATAGTTTGATTGGTGAGCAACTATATATTTCGGAACCAAATGTTAATATTTAATGACGAACAGTGATACTTAAACAAAAACAATTTTAGTTTTTTGCTAGTATCAAAAAAACTAATTAATAGTTCTGATATTTAAAACGAAATTAAAAGAAAATTCTAAAAAGATTTCTTTTGTAACTGTACCTACAATCTTTATTAACATTTTTCCTAGAAGAGTGAAAATACGTCCGAAAATAGCTGTCCTCGTTAACACGAGCCACGCCCACTTCGAACAATATAAATATTTCAAATGCTTTTAACATAAAAAATAGATAATACATTTGTCTCAGACACTTATTGTACAGAGAAACGAACTAAGTATTGTCCATTTACTTAGGTACTTTATTTTTTATTTAAGTACCATATTCGACACTGCTACAATGAGTTGACCCAAAAAGCACTAGCTGATTAGCCTAATAAGGATTTTTGTTAAACAATAAATGACTTGTGTATTAAATTACACAGCCATTAGATTTTCGCAAAGATTATTTGTAAAAAAGTCACTCGGACCAACATACTTTACACTGTCGAAAGTTTTGAATTGGAAGTCCGAACAATTTAATTCCTCGGTCGGTTGTCAGGAAGGCCAATCGTAGCTGTTAGCAAAAGTCCTTAAAGTCTCGTAGCTCGAACAAGAACTAGTTTGCTGTGCTGTATGTATGAATGGTGTCGAACGGCTGAATAAAAAAAAACATGGTTCAAAATGTGGTCTGACGGTTGATTTGCTGGTTGCACAATAATGATGAAACACAATTATGAAACATCAAATATTAAAGCGATATTTTTCACTTAGAATATTTTCAATTAGGCAAATTGTAAGATTATTTAATATTTTTTAATTTTTATCCTATGTGAAAAATAGCAAATAATAAGATACAGTCTTGCAAATATGTGCTCAATATTTGTGAGTTTCTGAGAAATTGTAGTCCTCAAAAATTTCACTTGAATTATTCTTTTTTAATTATATTACTTTGAAATTAGATGTGTTCAATATTTTGTCTTTTTTAACATGGGAACATGGTGTATTCGAGAATGATCCTCTAACAATGTCTTAAAGGTCACTCCTCAAATATTGTACACTAGAGTTGTAAGACCTTACATTAAGAGGTCCACTTACCTCATAAGAAGTATTTTATTGACGTAGCCATCATTGGGTTCGTCGTAGAGGTCTGCCGGGTCAGGAGCAAAGACTTCGGGGTCCAAGTAGGACTCTACATCGTGCTTCGCGGTTCCGCGAGTCGACAAAGGTTTTGAAAATCTAAACAAAACGGCACGTTGTAAATAATGTGTCGCGTGGGTCAAAAATTGTAGGATAAAAACGACTATGGCGACACCGGCGCTGTGAGAGGGCAGAAAAACTAAAAATATTCGAGAACATTTGCATCGCAAGCCATTTTTGTATCGAATTCATATTCACTACGGAATTTTATAAGTTTAAAAAATATAACGTTACTTTAAATATTAAACGTCTTTCTATGGAGCCTCAATGTCCCTATGTGTCAGACCTGTTTTTCCAGACGGTACCATTTTTCAAGGCCTGAATTTCGTAACTTTTTGAAAGAGACAAACGCGAATTGCGTGTGGATATTATCTATTTCAACCTGAGAATTTTTCTCAGCTGAATATTCCGTAGTCGCGAATAACCGGTAAAATTTACTATAATACAAGAGGGTATTTCTTTTTCGATTTGGGAATTGCTCTTGGCATATAGTACCCTCGAATTTGAACTGATATAAAAATTATGTACCGCAAATAGTGGCCTAAATAGCGAAAAATATTTGTTCCTGTCTATTATGAATTTATTACATAAATATGTGGGAAATATGTTTTTTTTAACCCTTTGTAATTAACAGCCGTGAATTTAACTGATCATAATTTTTTTACGACAAAGGAATCCCTAAGTGACCTAAATATTTTTAGACCTGATACTTGAATACAGGACTTTAGAATTAGTAATCGGGAACTTACACTGACTTAAAATTTTGAAATTAAATCTTGGTTATGTTTTTTTTTCAATGTGGGATTTAAACCATGTATTATACTCAGTAGCCGTGAATTTAATAATTATTTTTTGGCATTTTCATATTTCCGCTCAGTGGGAAATATTTTTTTTAACTTGGTTTTAAATCCATATCTTGTACCTATGTAGTTAGCAATGAATTTTACGTGATCTATTTTTTTTATAATTTCTATTCAATGTAGGATTTGAAACCAGAATTTTATATTCGTGAATTTAATTTCTTTTTGGGCTTTCAGTGTTTTTCTTGTGTTAGAAATATTTTTTTAAGTTGCGAATTGAGCCCATAGTTTCAGTAACCAGGTACTGAAACCAATTAAAAATTTTGAAATCAAAGGATTAATTTAGATTTTATTTTCTTCTGCGATTTCGTAATATCCATTATCGTGAATTTACACCTGTTAAAATATACGCCGGTGACAAACGAAGGCTTCGTACAGGTACATAATTTCATCGGTCCAGGAATTGAACCCGGAAAGTAATTTTCATCAATAGCAATTTTTTCTCCTAAAATATTACATACTGAAGACGACGACTTGTTGCATCCAGGTAAGAATTTCGCCGAATCGGGAAATGAACAGGACGTAATTTTGGAGCCAATTGGAATACACAAAATTAAAGCTTTGTGAAAATATAGCGTGAAGAGCGTAGGCAAGGTACATGAAAAAAAAAATTAAATGAAAAAAGAAATAAAGACCTAAAACCCCATGTTCAAGAAAAATAAAAATCTATTTCTGTGACCGTTGTAAATTTAAATTCGATACTTATACCAGAGTGCAATCGGAATGCCGCTAGCATTTTTTCAAGACCTTCTGTATTTTATTTTCACTTAAAACACAGAAAGACTTACTCTTTAGATATATAATAATTTTAAAAATACCCCAAAAATCCTGAGCTGGCTTACACAAATAATTCGCAGTGTTTTGTAGCTTTGCTCGAATTATGCAATTTTAGTTATAATTGGAAATGAAATCATATTTCAAATTGAAATCTGTGCAACTGAAAATATAGGACAAGCCCGGCTAGAACGTAACTACAGTGAGGGAGTTCTCTACCCACAGTACCCACACAGCCACCCCCTAGGTCCCGTGTTGCCAAGCTTGACCTATTTTCCCGCTATCACGAGACGCACTAATTGACGTCACATAAAACCCCAGGCACTGATTTCATACACTAGCTTTATAAAATACCTAACTTTTGCCGATGCAATGCCAAGCCGATGGAAACATAATTGAGAATTTTTATAATATACAACCAACTTAAAATATTACACAATTAAATAGCACATAGAAAAAATAAAAAAATAAATTAAGAAAAATAAGGATAAAGTTCGCAACAGGTAACAATCGCTGTGGAATAAAAATTTTACTAACCTGTGTATAGATAAATACTTGCTAAAATGTTGCAGGCACATTTTGTCTTTTGTTAAAGTCTTTCACCACCACAATAAATAAATTTACTTTAAATTAAAGTAAATTAAAAATAAAATAAAAGAAAAAAAATAATAACTAAAATAAAATAAAAAATAAAATTTAAAAACTGTTCAGTTTCACTCCGACACAATTTTTAAAACGTTAGAACTATAACTTGGAAAAATTACAATCCGCGGCGACATTTCGACCGCGAGCTCTGGCGACCGGCGCCTAGCTCGGTCGCGGCTTGAATAATGGCGCTCGCAAATGGCAGGTAAGGGTTGGCTGGGTGAACTACATTGCCATGGAAACGGTTTGCTAGTGTGGGTGCGCGTATTGTATACAAGGGATGCACTTACAGATGCAGTAGTGGGGCGGCGCAAAGCGCCCGCCCCCGGGTGTACGCAGGCCCACACGTGGCGTCTTCTCCTCGCTTTGGCCAATACGCGAACAAGGATTACGAATTATTTCACAAAGGGTACACGTTGTCACAGCCAGCATGACCCAGCCCCAGGTCCATGGTATTTAATTTCACCTGAAAAAAAAAGATACTATAAATATCATCGGCCAGCCTTAGTTACGGTGGGTGGAGTTTTACCCCCACCAAGAACATGTCTTAACTTTGTAAAACTATCTATGGAAGTTCCGGTCATTAGAAATCGGCCCTCTCTTTCTTGCGTACTATTTACCTACGATCATAAATAATTACAAGCAACGCATGATCGAAATTTAAAAATGTTTCTGTTCTAAAAATCACAAGATTAAGTCCAAGTAGCTCAAAAATCTGTTCGTAGTATCTTCAAAATTATCATTTGTATTTTTTTCTTATATAAATTATATAATTTGATAATTATGAAAACGGCTGTTATTGATTTAATAAATTCATAGGTAAAAAGACTAAAAACACGCTTCTAAATATAATCATATCGTAACAAGAAAAAATTGATATATCTATCTAATGAGCATAAACTCAGTTATGTTTACTAGCACATAGCCTACTGTCCTACACCTTCCACTTCCATCATCAAATCAACTGGATGGTCATGGCAAAATAGTTACTGAAAGATCATCATTTTCATGAATTTTCTTATGATGATACAACAATTAGAACCGCGTGTAATTTATAACATAGCTCGCTACAGGTACCTATACCTAATACAAGCGTTTAAAAAAAATACATCGTCATGAGCAACTGTAAGATCCATCCATTGTTTACCTATTGATATAGGATTGAAATCGACATTAATTTCGACCGTAAAACAAAATTACCGCAATCCAAGTGATTGTGATGAGAGCTACAGAAGTATGCAACAACCTGGGATAAGGGAGATATATAGGTAGTAGGTATAACGACCGAAATTTAAAAAAAAAACTACTTTTGCTATTAGTTGTATGGAGTTTTATCGTAATCCACATATTTTAGATTGAAATAGGTTATTTTTCTAATGACAATAACAATTACTTAACTATAACTTTTCCCGAACGCGCGTGCTGCGTCGCTTCGTAGCCAAATGTCAGTATATGTTTTATTAAAATAATAATTACGTATATTTCTAATTGCTTTCTCAAAATTGTTCGTAACTGTCCACACATAAACCTTGATCTGTGTCAGTTATCTTATTTCATCCGCGTAATTTTCAGAACGATGGGGCAACCACATGTTTAAAACAGATTTGACATAGTTGTGATAGTTACACCGCTTAGGTATACATAAATAGAGTATGGCCGAAACATCTTTTAAAATGTTGATTATATTTGGGTTTAATTGCGCCTCGAACAGAAGTTACTAAAACATTATGATAGAAAATATGTATACCTGCATATTTTGTCGCACGCCGCAAGAATTTATTCTATATATGTAATTTAGATTACCAACCACATCAAAAAATTATATTAACATAGATATTTCTAAATTTTAGGCAGGAGGGAAGTTCAGAATATTGGCAATTGTTAAATAATCTCAATCGGAATTTACAATGAGATGATTTTATTTAGATTTATGTAATTCAGAATTCAAATTATTTTCCAAAAACTATTCAATAGGCAATTATATTATTGGTTCGATGACTTGGACGATTTCGTGGTTAAATTTTTAGTACATGATATACATTGATAAATTGGTTTTAATCTTAAGACATGTGCTAGAGATCGTACGATAAACAGAGACTGTTAAAAACAGTACTTCAGTAAATTCTGGTTCGAATAGTGACTGTCCGAGCAACCCGTGAAGATACAGGGTATTCAATATTGAAAATAAACTTTTCTAGAATATTCAACGCAGAAGAAATCACGCGTACAGTTTGAAGAAACCGGACATCGACATTATTTTAAGTTCGTTCCTAGTTCCTACATGTAATTTTAGACGTCTTTGCTTATTTATAAAAAATATAGTACCTACTATTTATTGTTTCGCTAGGAAGACACCTAGAAATTGAACACGTAGCTAAGGTAAGCTTCCCTTACAAGCTTGATTGACATAAAAATGTATTTACTTAGTATGCACAAATAGACTAGCTTTCATACCCATTATTATGGAAAACATCGATATATCGGCTCGCTGGTCGCCAGTCAATCAAACTTTTGTATAAAATCCTCGATAACACACTTTAACACAGTGAAAGCAATTTAACAACAGATTGGATTTGTACCGGCATCGAAATCACAAATAGGAAAAGTGCACCTTCACCAAGGGACCGAGTCGTGTATTTTTATATTGACAGAGTCACTTTTGCGTCATTTTTTTAATGAAATAACCCGGTAAACGAGCCGACGGATCACCTGATGGTAAAGCAATCGGCCCCATGGACGCCCGAAACACAAAAAGTGTTACAAGTGCGGTACCGGCCTTTTGGGTATTAGGAATTTGAGGATTGTTGGGGATTCAGCCTAATTGGACCTCCGGTAATTGAACCACACGACGAAACATAACGCAAGTATTGTTTCACGTCTGTTTTCTGTAAAGTCCGGCCCACTTATAATATCTGTGATTAAAAATGTTGTCAGTGTTCAATTCGTAACAATTTTACTTAAGTTTTGCGTGTTAATAACATTGAGAAGTTGAGGTACAAATAATGATTTGTACTGTCGACATAAATACCTAAACAAAAAGGGCTTAAAACAAAAAATCTAATGGAAAGACGGAAGACTTAACGTGACCATCTGAACAAAGATAATGCAGTTTAAATCTTATTTGCAATAATGCAATTTATTAGATTGGATTTAATTTAACTAGCTCTCATCCGACGCAGGCCTCGTATGTAAAATACAGTAATACAATAATTTTACTCTCATAGGAGAAGGCATGGATTTTTCCATGGCAATGAAATAATATTCCTCGTTACTGAGGGAGTATTTTTCAACAGAAGCGCCTCCAAACAGAAAAGTAGATATTTAGTCATTTGAGAACAAAACTATTTTCAGTTATCAGCGGAATATAAACCCTAAAGACTTCAGGAGACATACAAAATACAAATTTAGTAATTTCAATAAGCACTCACGACTAAAGTCAGGTATCGAACTGCGTAAGAATTTAAAGAGACAGAAAGAGTCAATTTTAAATTTCAAGTCACATCCTACTGCTCGCTCAAAGGACATATCTAAAAGGTTTTCACTAATTAAAATTTATCTATTCTTATTATTATCTTAGAGCCATGCTTCGGCACGAATGGGCCGGTTCGACCGGAGTGATACCATGGCCTCACAGAAAACCGACGTGGAGCAAACGCTTGCGTTGTGCTTCGTCGTGTGAGTGAGGTTACCGGAGGCCCAATTACCCTCCCCTTCCCCAATCTCCTCAATCCCTGTTTGCCCAACGATCCTCAAACTCCTAATCCCCAAAAAGCCGGTAACGCACTTGTAACGCATCTGGTGTTTCAGGTGTCCATGGGCGACGCCGATTGCTTACCATCAGGTGATCCGTCTGATCGTTTACCGACTTATGCCATAAAAAAAATCTAGACATTGATATACGTTAGAGTTGGATCAAGTCTCATTAAAATCTTGTTTTGTCGTTCCCACTAATAAAGAATTGCAAGTTTATACTAAAACCACACTGCGTAAACGTTCAGTCAAATATATTTAACATTATAATATAATAATACGTTATTCTTAGTATTAGAATGAAAGTTACATAGTAACTAGTGTTGACTTTTCTTATTCATGGAAGTTTAGTGAAATTATTACACTAAATTTTATTAAGGAAATTGTACGGAATACTAGAAACCATTTTGGGTTAAGATTTGCGGAGTGAGGTTAATGAGTTGTAGAAATCAGGCCTTTTATATTCGTTCGATAACGATTCGACAGATTCTAAACACTAAACTGAGACTTTTCTTCTAGTCTCTCAATTCAATATGGTGGAAAATTAGCGACACACAACGGATACGAAGCGGGACGAAGTGCGGTGGCCACGTACAATTGATTTGTTTGTTGTGTACCGCCTTTCAAATCCGATTAAGTTAGCGATGTCCACGTGTTCCCTATATATAAGATAGCACAATAAATATAAGTTTCAATAGAATACAGCGAAACATTTCACTGAATCTTTTGAAATAATTTTATATTATCTGGAGTCGTACATTTGCTACTTTAGCTATGTTATATGTATAGGATTTATTTAGGGGCGGAAAATCATGAATCATCCAATTACTTCTTCCGCCTTGGCTTAGGCGAGAGGGAGTGTCAGTCTCTTACTGACTAACGCCGTTCCTACTCCTGCTCTTCGAGCCGGCCTCGGCAACCTGTTACGCCTTCCGTAAGATAGCCTTGAAAATAACTATCTCTCAATACATATTAATATTCGGCATCCTATTATTTCTTATTTGACTTTCAAGATTTACATGAAACAGAAAGAAAATGACGGAAGCGGTAGTATGAAAAAACTTATTTTCTTTTAGAAATTCAGAACGATGTTTATTGTTTTTCAATTTAGTCAACTGATGAAAACGATAGTTTGCGCACAAAAAACTTCCAGCTTCCAGCTTAGCAGTATTATAGTATTATA